TTAATAGGAAGAATAAATGTTAAAAGATCCAATGTTATTCTTTTATTTAATACCTTGTAACTATGTCATTATATTGTTCAAGCAATATTAGTAGTCAAACTTAAATTTAAAAAGTTGTACATTAATATCGGTTGAACAATAGGGGAAAATATAAAATAAAATGAGAAAGTAAAAAGGGCGTGAATCACAGGTATGTATAGTATTTTAAACAGTTCTGTCAAATTTCGTCAGATGGCGCTTCAAAGCTTGGAAGACTGATGTCTCTATATCAGTATATATAATGTACTCTGTGAATAAAACTAATCAAATCGTGAACGCGAATCGTCAATCTTGATCTTGACGCTGTCTGTCACTAGGGTTGTCGAAAATACCAAATAATATAAATCGATACAAAATATTCAATATCGAAAATATTAAAAAAACTATATTTTTTCAAATTAGAATCCGGCACAGGCCATAGATGTCAAGTATTATATATATACATATAGTATATATAGTACCACTTGACATACCTTTTTTGGAAACTTTTTATCGATCTAATTCTTTATTTTACACACCCCTATGGGACACCTTACTAGGGTTGTCGAAAAATATCGATGTATTATTAAATATATCGTAATTTTTGGCCGATATATTTTGATCCGATTATCTTTATAAAAAATTGAATATCAATATCAAGAAACAATATTTTTATTCAATTTTAATTCAGCTGAATATTAACAGAGCTGAAGTATCGGAATCGGACGACCCTGCCGGTGACGGAGAACCGGTGGGCTACCCAGAACTCAGTGAGTAGGGCGACACATGTACTCATGCGTGCATTTTTACGATGTGCAGGCTCGTCCGGGTAATGGTATTTACCTTACGTCCTCACTGAAGACCGGCGTCAAGTGAAAGTATAATACTTCCGCGTTTCGTCTGGTGAGTGAGGTAGCCGGAGCTCAATTTTCAAAAGGTTGTCAACACATCTGCAACCCTCGGGTGTAGCAGATGTCCATGGGTGGCGGTATTCACTTAACATCGGGTGAACCGCCTACTCGCTTGGCTTTTGGCGCTTAACTTTTCTCATAAAAAAAAATAAAAACAAATAATTATGCCATGACGTCTACGGGCCATCGAGGTTCGGTGCGGACCGTGACCACGATGGCCAGTGACTATGCTTGGTTAGTAGGTGGCTGGGAGCGGTGAGAGCCGCCCTGGAACGCGGGTGTACCGAGTGTACGCGTTGTTTAGTTTCGCCGTGCTCGAAGGCGAGGACAAACTATGGAGTTAGTTGATGCACTAACTGAGTGTGTAGGGTTATTTGGCGGGACCCCGACGCTGGGTCCGACGTACTTGAGTCCCCTTCTTTGTCTGGGTCGATGAGAACGTTGCGCGGGCGACGCTTATTGACGTTCTCGTTAGTGTCGGCTTGGTAATTTGCTACGCCAGAGGGTTGGGATGATGTTAGACTCTGTCGAAGAACCTTTTGGTGAGATCTTTAAAATATTCGCGAATCGTCGGGAGTCTGCAGTCACCGTGCAGGTCGACGTTGCGTTGATACCACTGCGCACCGGTTGCGCAGCCGATGAACTTATTTTGTTTTATTTGCAACTTATGCAAACGAGTAGGGTCAGGTCATGCTCAGGTATTTAAGAGCTTTCACAAATATTTACTCTTTGCTCGCTTTGATCTGTGTTGAAAAAGTTGACACTGTTGGGAATATCAAATAACAAATAAAATAAAAAACATTTGTACAATTATTTCGCAAATATCCACCGACTTAGAGCATTTGAGGATTTTGCAAACATGATTGTGGTGGATTAGATTTAGACAGCTGTAGCCTAAAGGTCCTTGATACCAGGCTATAAAATCCAACAAAAAAAATGACAACAGTTTTACGAAGTGTCATGTCATGTCATCATTGTCAAATTTAAAAGCTAAATAGTCAATGTACTTGTACTCTGTGATTAGGTATTTAACAATAACAATACAATAGTACAAATTGGAAACATGAGCAAAAAACAGAACATAGTTGTAAGTAAATATACCAAAATTGTTTTAATTCCTTGTACGTATCTAATTGCTTAAATGATCGATGTTCTCATATTGCAGAAGAAGATTAAGTCGTTATGTTATTTAACATTGGGAGGTTCACTTTCTTACCAGTTTATTTATTTCAAAAAGGATTTTAGTGGCTATTATGATAACGTACTACAACCATTAAGTCAACGACTAAGTCCAGAATTTGCTCACAAAATTGGCGTTTCTGCAATAAAATACGGTTTATTCCCACGTGAATCCATTGATGATCCAAACGTTTTGGTATGTACTAATATCATTGTTTTCTATTTACATTAAGATTGGCTTGGCTATAAATCATTAAAATGACTCTTTTTACAGAAAACAAAGTTTTTAACTTATGAGCTTAGTAATCCAATTGGAATAGCTGCAGGATTTGACAAACATGGGGATGCTGTTTTAGGACTAAGAAATTTAGGTTTTTCTGTAATTGAAATTGGCTCCATAACTCCTGAACCGCAACCAGGGAACCCTAAACCAAGAGTTTTTCGATTACCTGAAGACTATGCAGTTATCAATAGATATGGTTTTAATAGTGAAGGACATAATGCAGTTTATGAAAAAATTCAAAATTTAGATAAAACGCTTCTCAAAAAGGGTCTTTTAGGTATAAATCTAGGGAAAAATAAAATATCCGATGATGCTGTCAATGATTACATATTAGGAATTAAGAAATTTAGTGAAGTTGCCGATTATTTTGTAATTAATGTGAGCAGGTATGCACAAAATTATTATTGACTACTAATCAGCACATAAACTCGGTATAAAATATCAATTAATTTTATAACTGTCAACATCAGTCTTATTATGAAACTTATAACATTTTATGATAAATTAGTTTGCTGATGTTTTACAATGGCCTGTGACAATGAATGCCATAAATAGCTTAAAATAGTAATTTTAAAATAATGTTTTACAGGATCCTCATATTTTATGTCATATTACAATTATGTTAAAAAAAAGTGTGTATTTAATGTTTTGTTTCAGCCCTAATACTCCAGGACTTAGGTCACTGCAAAGTAAAGAAGAGTTAAAGAATCTTCTAATTGCAATTAATAAAATGAGAAAATCTTTACAGACAAAAAAGAATCCTCCTTTGCTTCTTAAGCTTGCACCTGATTTAAGTTTAGAAGAAATGAAGGATATTGTATCAGTTATAACACAAAATGAATCTCAAGTTCAGGGGTTGATTATTTCCAATACAACTATTGATAGATCATCACTTACTAACCAAGAGTTTTCAAATGAAACTGGTGGTCTTAGTGGCAAGCCTCTCAACAGTAAATCAACAGAAATGATTAAGACTATGTATAACTTAACTAAAGGTTGGTTATTCATTTCTGCTTTATATGTAAAAAATAAATTATATGCAACTTTATTTAATTGTAACTGTTCATAATTAACAAAAATAAAACAATTTTTTTTATAACAATATTTTATTTAATGTGGTATAGTTCAAATTGTTTTACCATTAAATATGTTAGTGCAAAAACAAAGTAATAACAGTCTTTATTAAACAGTTAATTGTTATATTTCAGGTAAAGTACCCATAATAGGAGTTGGTGGTGTATTCAGTGGGAAAGATGCTTATGATAAAATATTGGCTGGTGCTAGTATAGTACAAATATATACTGCTTTAATTTACCATGGCCCTCCTGTTGTTTCTAAAATTAAGTCAGAATTAGCCGATTTATTAATAAAAGATGGTTATTCTAGTGTTAATGATGCTATCGGTAAAGGTGTAAAATGATTACTTATTATTTTTAATAAATGTAATTCAACTCTTTTTTTAACTTATAATATCATCTGCATCACCTGAAATATATTACTAAAAAATTAATATATAAAATGGATAGCCAAATAGATGGTAGGAATTTAGTACAGACTGCTACTTGTACAATAATATCTTCTACCTAGATAATTTTATATTAGAAGGGTAAAAATAGCAAGATTTTATCTCAGGAAAGGTAATGCTACTTTTTTTTTTTTTCAAAAAAAGGAAGTAAGTTATTATTTCCATTGAATATGACCAATATTCAATGGAAATAATAACTTCCATCATTATTAATAGGTAATTTTGTTTTTTGTTTTATGTAAAAAGTTGCCAAGCGAGCAGACGGTTCACCTGATGTTAAGTGAATACCTCTGCCCATGGACATTTGCTACACCCAAGGGTTCAAGATGCGTTGACAATGTTTTGAAAATTGGGCTCCGGCCACCTCACTATACTTCCACTTTACGCTGGCCTTCGTCATGGTACTTACCCAGATGAGCTTGCCCATTTGTGTAACAGCTGAGGTTGCTGCTACGACCGTGAAAATAATGCATGTTGATATATTTATGAATTATAAATATTATTGTTGAGCAAAAAACTTGGAAGTGCATATATCCTTTTTATTTATTGCTACATAATTATATCCATAAATGTGTGAATAAAGCGAAGATCTTGCGAATATTTTCATAAAATTCTTACCTAATATTTTACATGCAGGTAGGCCAGACTTTATAAAATGTTTACAGTCTTCAATGTTTTGTACACTTGTTAAATCATACAATATAAGAGTTTGAAGATTTTTTAAAGCAACCAGCTCTTTTAGACCAATGTCTTTGACATTAACACATTTTGATACCTGAACAAAAGTTAAAACATCTTTGCCATATGCCAGTCCTTTAAGAGCTCTATCATCAATATAGCTGTTATTGTGTAGCACAATCTTTTTTAACATTGTGCATCCACCTAGAAAGATAAATATTTTGAAAATGACACTTCAAAATATAAATAAATAAATTGAAATAATTCCGAAAATTACTTAAGTGCGGGAAACCATGGTGTGAAATAGAAGAATCAGTTCCGTCAATTTCAATCAACTTAGGTCCTTTTTGTTCCTCTGGTGGAAGTAAATTATAGTCTGAAAGTTTCTTTCCATCTGCCCATGTTACTTTACCACCATTTCTTAGCACCCATTCGGCACACGCTCGATCCGGACCGACTTTCTTTAGCCGATCGAGGTCAGGTTTATTAAACATCATATTCACATATTCCCAAAAAGCTCTAGTTGAATTGAGTTGCGGTACATAAAGTCTACTCTCGAATATGGTGATACCCTGCAAGCAAATTTATTTAATATTGAGTAAATATATTCATACGGTCAAAAATAACTTAACACTTACACATCGCTGCATCCTGCAATTTGAAACTTGTTGCCAACCAACTGCGAGCGAACTGCGTAGTTATTTTATTTTTGGTTTTGGGTTTGTTTGTTACGCTTTTCGGTTGACACTTGACATTGTCAAAATGTATTTTTTTATTTTTTTTATTTTATGGCCCGGTATCAAGGACCTTTGAGCCAAAATGTAATATTTTTTATTCTTTCGCGATAGATGTAATTATACAACAGATAATTATCAATTAGAAAACAAGTGGAATTGCCATGTGAACGTAATGACGTAGTCTGACGACCTTACTTAAGCGAATATGTCACTAACTGAGGGAAATACGACTTCTGGCGCTATTGAAGACGCACTCGCTGTCACACACAGTCCTCCTGATCATAAATCCTATTAAAATTCCGTATTGCGTAATTTATGACTGCAAAAATAATAGCCCAAAAAAAATATCACAAAAAGAAAACTCTTTCATCACAAGCAAGTGCTATTTTAGTATATTTTACACACAACCCTAACAAGTAACTAAAAATACAAACTTTGTGTGAAGTACAGAACTTTGTGTGATAGGCAATTATTATCTTTAACTCCAAGATATGAGAACGTTTGTGAGTGCATATTACGTTCGTGATATCTAATGTCGAGTGGTCGAAATCGTATCAAAAACGATATTTTTATTCAAACTTCAAAATATTCAAAGCCGTAAAAGATAAAAATGAACGGAAAAAACTGTGAACTACTAGTATCGTCACGGACGCGGAGTTGCATTAATACACCTAGCAGAACCTCGTTTAAGCGGTTAGTACGAGACTATTACTTAACGGAGAATATCATCAACTAGTGAAGTGAATGTTTTCGTTTGTCACTAATTATCACGTACGTATGTGTTTGCGTCTGTTTGTTTGTATGTTTGCGTGCGTATGTGTATACGTATACAGCGTGTCGTTACCACCGCGACAATAAATGAACACACATATAGAGGATAACTTTTTAAAATTGTATTAAACATTTACATTCTTTAAACATCAATATTTACCGAGTTATTAAATTGTCCAAAACAAACAATTTTAGAACACCCTTCCGTATAAAACTATAACGTAAAGTTCATTTGTAAAGGTCACAAAGCATATGAATGGGTTGAATGAATTTAAAAGAGACAAAACATACTGTTAGAATGAGAGGCTTGTAATGCGACGCTGTGGCGCGAGTTTTATGGGATGTTACAAATTTTGTTTCTTTTTTACTTAATTAGTTTGAAAAATATTTTTTTTTTAAGTATGGCTTTTGTTTAACGTTAATATTTTTTTATGATTATTGGCAAGTAGCGTTATACGTGTGTTCATTTATCGTCGCGATGGTAACGACACGCTGTAGAAGCATTCACTTACTTATTGCTAATCAAAAAACTCTAACACCGGTTCGGAAGGAAAGCCCTGACCTGAGAAGAACCGGCGTAAGAAACTCAACGAGACATTTTTTTTTACTTGCCAAAAAAATACAAATATGTGTACAATTATTAAATTCCACTTGAAAGAGCCTGGAGCGATCAATTCATTTCCAGAGTGTGTTATCGTTCAGATAATCACTAATACTATAATAGCCATTAACACACAAACGTTCCTTTACAAGTTTTTTGAATTTAGCAACGGATTCATTTTGAACGTTTTATGGGATTTTGTTGTAAAAGCGTATACATTGTCCCATAAAAGATTTACTTTTTCTACGCAATCTAGTTGAGGGTAGAACTAATTTATGCTTGTTCCTAGTATTTACATCATGCACATTACTAAATCTTGAAAAGTCATTCTTATTTTTGTGGACATACATAACATTAGCAAGTATGTACTGAGAAGCTACAGTCAATATTTTTATTTCTTTAAACAGGTTTCTTAGTGAGTCTTTGGGGCCCAGGTTATAGACCGCTCGAATAGCTCTCTTTTGCAGGATGAAAATAGTATTTATGTCGGCTGAATTTCCCCAAAGTAGAATGCCATAAGACATTATACTGTGGAAATAGCTAAAATATACCAGACGAGCCGTATCCACATCAGTCAACTGTCTAATTTTTTTGACTGCAAAGACTGCTGAGCTAAGTCTACTCGACAGTTTATTAATATGGGGGCCCCACTGCAATTTGGCATCTACGGTTATGCCAAGAAATACAGTCGAGTCAATGAGGTCTAACGCTTCCCCATGTAAAAGTACATCAGTTTTTACACTTTTTACGTTGGGAGTTGTAAATTTAATACATTTCGTTTTCTTACTATTCAACATTAAGTTGTTAGCACTAAAGTGGAGAGAGTATTGTTTACATCGTCATAATTTAAAGAATGTCGTTTAACTTTAAAGAAGTATCATCAGCAAACAATACTATCTCATGATCATTATTAACAAGATAGGGCAGATCATTTATGTAGATGAGGAAGAGAAAAGGCCCCAGAATAGATCCCTGTGGAACCCCAATACTTACCAGGGCCCCGGGAGATCTCTTGCCATTCACGTCAACTCTCTGAACACGATAGCTCAAGTTCGATGTTAGAAGATTGAGTGCGGCATCTCTTATACCATAGTGGTGTAGTTTCCTGACCAGAGTGTCATGCTGTACACAATCAAATGCTTTGGTTAAGTCACAGAATATACCTAAGGCATCCTGTGACTCTTCCCAGGCTTCAAAAATATTCTTCACAAGCTGGATACCCGCATCTGTTGTTGAGCGACCCCTAGTAAATCCATATTGCTTGTTATGCAACAATTTATGTGTACTAAAATGGAGTAACATTTGATTCAAAATATTTTTTTCAAAAATTTTACTAAGAGTTGGTAGTACTGAAATAGGTCTAAAATTGCTGGGGTCAGAAGTACTACCAGATTTGAACACCGGAATAATCTTACTATGTTTCATAAGGTCAAGAAACTCGCCACGTTGAATACAAATATTAAAAATAGTTGCTAAGTAAGGTGAGACTACATCAATTATAGAACTGATCACCTTGACAGATACCCCATAGATCAGCAGTTCTTTTAATATCTAGAGATTTGAATGTTTTATTATAATAATATCGTTCTTATTAACAGTAGTAAACTTAAAGTTTTCTTTACATTCCATTAAATTTTTCTTAAGTATTGATTCGGCAATTGTCGGAGAACGACATCAAAGTATATAAAAAATATGAAAGGATATTCCAGCATTTCGTATGCAAATTACTAACGTTAATATGTGGAATATAATTATTAGTTAATTATTCTTTTTAATACATTCAACTTACGCAGGAGTGTGAACCCGTATTATGTTAAAAAATCCACTGCCAAATGCTAGTTAGATGTCTTAAACTTTTATGGTGGTTAATTTTGGAGTGAAGTCAGCCAAATCTGTGATGCTAATAGCAAACCAAAGTACGGCAATTTGTCCCGATTTGTGAAGGAAATGACCTTTGTCAAACGCCGAAGAAGAATATTTTCCGATATTAATAGGATTAAAAATCAAGATCGAAATCGATTTAATAATAAGAATATTGCATGCAATAATGCATGGAAAAAAGGTTTACGAGGGATCAGTTGGAAGGAGGATGTAGGAGATTTGATCCTTACAGAATTATGATCAAGTTAATGGACTCGAAACAGCTTTATGACAATGTTACCCAACATTAAAACGAAGAATCTTGATTTTAAGATTAATTTTATTTTTTTTAAGAATTTAACTTAAAAAAGAAACATTGGTTTCTTTACTTATGGAGGATATACATCTTTGTTATTTTTATTACTTCATCGTTTAATCAAGAAAATATTAATGTTTAATACGACCACAAAAATATACCAGATTTTTAGTATTTCCTCGTTCTCTTTTGTTAGAATTCAGTAGTTTTTAACCTCGACATAAAGTAGATTCGTCATATAACTTACACGGATGCCAACTTGGGAGTTTTCTTCCTAAATTTAGGGAGAAAAAAATTACAAGAGAAGTTTTTTAGGTGAAATTTTTTGGGAATATTTTTAGGAATAAAATTGTATTCACATGTATGAAAATAAAAAAAAACTACACAATTTTAAACACAAAATATAACATAATAGTATTGGCAGCATTGCATATTGTATATAACAATGACTCGTGTTAGCTGCATTGGCTTATGTAATATTTTAAATTGTTCTGCCATAAACTCTTAAGGGGCCCATTCACTATCCTGCCTGGCAGGCCGCCGTGCAGGACTGCAAAGCAGGATGTAGCCCACACTCTATCCTGCAAGCCGTCCATCATAGTGTCAGTGTTATTGTTGTCATAATTATGGATTTACGTGAAGTATCGAAAAAAAAAAAGAAAATAGCGATTCTGCTATGTTTTTTTTTGTTGTTAGATAAAAGTTTTTATTAATAAATAACCTTTCCTCACATTATCATACTAATATACATAAAATTTAAGTAATAATCTAAGCTTTTCTCAAGTTGAAGTATTTCAATAAAAAAAAGTTTTTAGCTTAGTTTTAGTTATCACATCAGTCGGGCTTCCCGGGATGCACACGTTTTTTTTTGTTTAAAATAAAGTACCCAGTCCTGTGTAGATTTTATTCTTACGTGTGAATAAAATTTAATTCCTAAAAATATTTCTAAAAAATTCCCTGTTACATAATTTCTGTTGTAAATCTGTACTGTGTAAATTTACGAAAAAAAAGTCCTAATTTAGCATCCGTATTTTCATATAATATAGCGCAATTTTACTAAGGGCTTAGTGCATTTTCTTCTTCATATGGCAACACTGCCGCTATGCAGGACGGCCAAACCACTGACGCTCCTGCGCGGCGGACTGCAAGCGGTGGGCGTAGCTTGCAGGTCCCTTGCAGGATGCAAGGCGCGTCCTGCTCGGTGTTGCCAGAAACTGTGCAGGCCTGCAACACCATTCACGATCCTGCATAGAGCGGCGGACTGCACGGCGGACTGCCAGGCAGGATAGTGAATGGGCCCCTTTATTGTGAATATATGTCTACTCATAATAATATGTTCATTTAATAATATATGTCATATAAAATGCCAAAGGAGTGTGAAAGTGAGAAAATTGCCATCGGATATGTTCAAAAATTTAAAGGCATTTTTAATTCAGTTCTTATATAATTGAATGATACTTATTCCCATTGTTTATTGTCTGATTCTTAGAAATAATGAAAATAATTATAACGTCACAATAAAATGTATTTAATTTGCATAAATGTGTTTCAAGTCGATGAACAATGTGAACATTGTTAACCGTGAAAGATGTAGTATATCATTATTTTCTTTTTGTTTAAAAAACATTACCCTTACTTTAGGATAACATTATCCTGAATTGTAGGGACGTTTTACAAACATAAATTTCACGCGGACAAACACCCAGATGCGAAACAGCTATCTGTGGGTCACACAAATAGTTGTCCCGTGTGGGAGTCGAACTCACGAGCCCCGATGCCGAAGCCAATACCTTGGCAACTCCGCCACGGAACTTCAAATTAATTTTATAAATAAAACAGTTTTTATTACTCAGATAGTTAATTTTTTCCGATAATTATTCTACCTTGTTAGACAATTTTAAGAAAAGGTCACTTTTTTCATTTAGGAAGTTTTTTTTCAAAAAGAGTGGATTTTAGGAGGTTTTTGAATTTCTTTAGGAGTTTTTTTATTCAACAGTTGGTAACACTGACAACTGAACATAGTCTGTGAATGTGAACTGTTGACTGAATGTTATGTTTTCATAGATCCATTAAAACATTATTTAGTTAGAAATAAATGTAAAATGAGTTCTGATCTACTTCGCTAAATTTTCTAAATATTACAGTTTGAGCTTTGTAGTTTTAATGAAAATATATTATTGATTATTTTTATGATGTCTGAAACTTACGGTTGGTGCATTTTTTTAATTATAAGGAAAATTTATTTAATTATGCCCCGGTTGTCATATTTAATTGTCTTTTTGCATTCTGTTTCAGAATATTTGTTTAAATTTTTAGTAATAGGAAGTGCAGGAACAGGAAAATCGAGTCTTCTTAATAATTTTATCGGAAATAAATGTAAGTACAGTTTTTTAAAACTATGTAATTTTGTTCAATATGCATTTTAAAAGTATGGAGTTGGACAAAACTTCGCATTTTTTAGTCAAAGAAGACAGATGTCACACTATTGGTGTGGAGTTTGGGTCTAAAATTGTAAACATTGGTGGGAAATCAACAAAACTACAAATATGGGATACTGCTGGTCAGGAGAGATTTCGCTCCGTTACCCGATCATATTACCGTGGAGCAGCTGGAGCGTTATTAGTTTATGATATAACGTCCAGAGACTCTTTCAACGCTCTTTCTAACTGGCTTAGAGATGCTCGAACATTGGCTAGCCCAAATATTGTTATTTTGCTAGTAGGTAACAAAAAAGATATAGAAGAATCTCGGGAGGTAACATTCTCAGAAGCCAGTCAGTTTGCACAGGAAAATGGTAATTTCTTTTTAATTATTAATACTTTTTATACATGTCTTTTTGTTTAATAGTAAAGTTACCATAAATTATATTACTATTAACACAGTGTAGCTTTTTCAATGTAAATATTTTTTTCAGAATTAATGTTTCTTGAGACTAGTGCTAAAACTGGAGAAAATGTTGAGGAGGCTTTTTTAAAATGCTCAAAAACTATACTTGCAAAGATTGAGACGGGTGACTTGGACCCTGAAAGGATAGGATCAGGCATTCAATATGGAACTGGTACTTCTAAAAGGTTGACAACAACTAAGAAACCTGCGCGAGCACCATCTGATTGTGCTTGTAGAGTTTAGGTTTTTATATTATTTTTTGTACACCCCTACTTGTGATAGCCCTTTAAGAGGCGAAAATTATCTATTGTTTAGATGTATCTCTAAATTTAATCAACTATTTGTTCACTAGTCCATATGAGATGAACACTAAAAAAATATCTTTTTAATGTCAATTAATCAACCATAGCCTGCTCTTAACTAAATTAGATAACATTACAATGTTTTGAAATACAATAGAAACTTGGAATAGACATGTAATCTTAGTGTGCAAATTTCCAGTACTTTATTTTTACTTTATGCTTATTCTCTCTTAATCGACTGATAATAAAATTGATGAAGTGCTTGTCCTATTTTAAAAGTTAAAGATGGACTTGGGTCTGATTAACCACACCTGCAACAAAATGGATTGGGAGCATACACAACAGAGTGCTATGAGTATACATGTTCATTTGACATCTTTCTTATTCTAAAATCTATGATTTTGAGAAGGGTTAATAATATAATAAATTACAATAGATTTTAGATGAAAGAAAATTTTATATATTCTGCTAGGAGTCTATAACTTCTAATTTTATTGTAAGGTTTTATTAAGTGCAGCACATTTAGGAGTAATATCTTTATTGCTTAACTAGACATTTTATTTATTTATGGTCGTTAGATCTTAATATTGACCATGACTTAATTTTAACTTCCTGTATACATATAGAGAAACTATAATTTCACATGATAGCATTGCTTTTATTCATACTTCATGAAATATGGAATCTCATTGTTAAAAATATTTTCTCCTCAATAACTAATATGGTAATGAAAATTTATTGCATTTTTATATCAAGCATAGATAAGAAAAACAAAACGAACTTTAAACTTTTAATCCTAAGTTCTTCGAACTTTAAAATTTATATACATTAATTAATAATTTTACGATAGAAAGAAAAATTAAATGAACTCAATATAGACAGCAATGGTTGCAACATCAGCTGTTATCCCCCATTAATGTGATTTCTATATTACCTTAATATCTGTCTTCAATGCTTTTTGTACCATTTGACACTTGCTATTAACTTTATCTAGCAGTGTTGTTATAGCTTAAGATTGTTTATTATTTTAAAATAATATTTTAGAACATTTATTATAGTATATAATGGCAGTGAATATATGTGCATATAAAATATGTAAGTACATAAAATTTATTATATAATCATTTTAAGTTGAAGTACTGACAACCTTTTGTAATACATTTCACCTCACTAGCACACATGGTTATTTCTTTGTAATATTTGTGATTGAGTAGTAGGCTTATTTAACTTGTAATCTCAACCATTCATAAAGTGCACAGCAGTGTATATTAGTTTGTGACAATAAAAAGTTAACCTTCTATACTCGCTTTTAATTTTAATCATTTTATAAATTTATGATGTCTGTACAAAAGAGCCACAAACATCTGGTGACATCTGTTATCATGGCAGAGGGTACTAAAAATCTCCGTCCAGGATTTAGTTAATCACAGCAAGTGAATAGGGTAACACAATTCAAAAACATTCATTTATATGCAAAAAAACATTTACAGTTTGTTAAATATAGGTTACGTTGTTGAATATACCTCAATGTTTGAAGACTAAAGTCTTCAACCAATGTTTGTTGCCAGTGATGACATACAGAACTGAGACGTGGTCCTTCACTTCTGGCAAACGTTGGGGAAGCAAGGTTCTTGAGTGGCAGCCTCGTGCTGGTCATCGCAGTGTTGGACGACCCCCCACTAGATAGAGCGACGTCCTGTGCAGTCGTGCTTCGTGGCAGTCTTTGGGGGAGGCCTATGTTCAGCAGTGGACTCAAACAGGCTGAAATGATGATGATGAAATATAGGTTGATACACGGGACATTGACATATAAATATGGATCCCTATATGAAGTTCCGTATATTTTAAACAAAACATGTACGTAACACAATGTGGTACTTTATTTCGTAGTGTCACTTTAGTATACTAATGCCAATGTCCTCGCGTATCATCGTATATTGCTTCTACTTTCTTTCTTCTTATAGTTATTTACAAACTGTAAAGCTTCGTGTTGACTGCAGAGACCAGCAATAGAAATAAAAATTAATACTAAAAAATTTTAAAGGCGATGGCGACATGTCCCGTTGCAATTGTGCATCATTTGAATATTTTAATGTTCTTTGTAAGGTGTATGCTGTACAGGATGCACATTAGATGGCGCCAAGCATTGTTACAAATGCAATAGAAGGAACGTAGATAGATATCGAGATTTTCGCGCTGTGAGGTCATCGGGCACTTATCTTAGTTGAGGAGTGTCGGGACAACAACCGATCAAAATCAAAGTTAAAGTATCTTTATTCAATATAGGTTAAGCCTATATTGAACAAAGATACTTTAATCTCTTATTGAACGTCAACAAAAATCTACCACCGGTTCACTAAACTAGACCTGCACGAAGAAGAACCAGCAAGATACTCTGCGGTCTTGTTCTTTTTGTTATTTTTTATTGATGCAATTATACAAACTTATTTAGGTATAAAATCAGCAGCAGCCAGGGGTCTTGCAAGTGCAGAGCAAGAGTCATTTCCACACATCCTTGTCCTCAATGTATTCTTTGGACATTATAGTAGGCCCTTGCCATTAAGTTAGCTTTTATAAATTGTTTGAAATTGTTTATTCTTAGTTGTTTGTGGATATCACCTATCTTTCTTATATATAAAAATGGATTGCTGTTCGTTAGTCTCGCTAAAACTCGAGAACGGCTGGGCCGATTTGGCTAATTTTGGTTTTGAAATATTTAAATTAAAAAAAAAAACAATCTTTTGTTTTATATTTTTTTATAAAATGTTTGACATTCTTTAAACACCAATCTTTATTCAGTAATAAAAGTTCCCCATGTGTCCTATAAATCTTTGCCAAAGATTTATGGGACAAATCCATATCCAAAGATTCTTTGGATATGGATTTGTCAGTTTTCAATAAATCAAATGCAAGACCCATGAAAATTTCTAAGGATTTGTCGGTGTATGTTTCAATCATGAAACAATTCGATTGATTTATCGCTTCGGTTCAGATTAGTGTTTCAAGAAAGTTTTTACAGATGATATAGTCGTTTATAAATATATCTCATAGAAGATGCCTATAGATATGTACGTAAACTGCCGTTTAAGATACTTAAAATGTGGTTTATCGGTTTTTGTTCCGACGCTATTCGGTTAGTAAAGCGTCTGGACGCGAAACCAGAAGATGCGAGTTCGAATCCCACAGTACACAGTTTTTTTTTTAATTTATCGACAAAAATTTGGTTCAAATTTTTCTTGAATGCAGACTCAATAAAAATAAAAACTAATCCTATAAAAAATCCAGATTTGAACTCACCGAATGATATTAAAAGCGTTAACCCGCCGAGTACTTTATTGGATTAGGTATTTTGTATTTTACTTCGGCTGAGAGCGGTGAGAACACGGATTAACTTGTACGTTGTGTGCACGCCTTTTGTTGTTTTTTGGTTATACCAATTGGTTAAATAGGTATAGCTATTAGTTTAGTCTATCGGGATTCGGTGGGTTCGGCCAACATACGTCTGTAGTGTTCGTCTAACATCGGGGGTATGCAATCGTTATGCAGCTACATGTTACGCTGATACCCGTTATTAGCACCGGTTGCAAGGATAAATAAGAAATGAATTTAATGTTAACGATTTTTGAAGTTTCTTACTTCAAAATTTATGTGGCTAATGTGTGTCTCTGTGCATGTCGATTCAGTATCTATCACAAGTGTAGGTCATCACACATCAAGAGCAAATACTTCATTCATAAATTATATTAATATAAAAATTACTTTCGTTTAAAAAAATCTCGATTTCTATGTTCAGTAATAGAAATTATAAAAAAATTTGCAAGAGGGAATTGGAAAAAAATAATGAAATAAGTACTCAATACAGGTTTTAAATCGTCAATCATGTCTAAAACACTCAGTTTACATATTTTGTTTACTCCGTATATGTATACTTTAATCTATCGTAATATCATAGGACGATTAAGATACTTAGGAATAGTGGGGGTAAAAATAAGAAATTCTCATTAATTATTTAAAAATTTATTATTGATATACATAAGTTTATAAACAGCTCGTTTAACAACAGACGGAGCCAGGATATTCAATGTCAATTTTTCTAATAAAGAATCCACACGAATTCTTAGCGCTACTATGATTGTGACACATCGATCGCCGAAATATTATCCATAATTTAATAAAGAAATAATTCTGAAAAATTATAAATAAATTATACAACCGCGCAAGGGAAACTACAAGTGAATACCGAAAAAATAAGTCCAGCTTGTGGCTTCACAATATATGAATTATTTACATACATTACTTAATTCTCCGGGTTTCTTTGCCGTTATATTTACATTAGATGTAAAAGTAGGAAACTTGCAAGATTAAAATTCACTTATTGATAGGCCTCCCAACAGACCTATGGAATGTAAGCACTACTTGAATAGAGTATTGGTAAGATCATTGTTATATTGCTTTTGTAATATCATGTTTTTTGAGTATAAATTGGCTTTGCGTCACACTACTTTAACAAAGCTGTTGGGACTAAGGACTGCATTTATGCAATAACTTCATCAATTCAGGTTTTTTTTTTTCAAAGCAACCTGTGATTGTTTATATATTGTTACCAACAAATTTGCTGCAGCAGTTTCAAATAAGAGATGATTGGTATTTGAGCAAAAACATATAAGTAACTAAATTCGTAATTTGTTTTTTATTTCGTAAGTACTTGTTTAGGATGATTAAATGTACGTCTTACAGGCTTAAATTTGTTTTAAAAGATATGTAGTTGAGTGACCTTGGTTAGACAGGACCGGAGTATATATCTCTATATAAATAACGGTTATATCTTTAAGATTGTTTTAAAAACGAAACAGTAAGCATGTTTGTTTACTAAACTTGTTCAAATGAGCACACTGTCCAGAAGCTTTAATATCCATGCGTTAACAAGCTTAAAAATGGCGCGGTGTAAAACAATAAATTTGCATGTTATTAAAATTTGAGTACTTCTGTTGTTGATGTGCATTGACATCGTGCTAGCTTCGAATTGGTCTAAAAATTTACTGCGTTGCTAAAGGCAATAGTACACATTTTAAGTTGACACTATGGCTTAAGCCAACACAAAAAAAATAACACCGAAGACTTATTGTAAACATAACTATTACTAATCGTTACAAAGAATGCAACAAAAATAGTGATTACACGTACTTAAAATAAAATGCACCTATTTATAACTAGGAACTATAATGGGTGTGATAGTGGTGTACAGCTCTCGTGACGAGTTTTGTGTCGTGGAAGTTCGATGAAAATAACCATTTCTTTATGTATATGATATCCTTTGCTAAAAATGTTGATTAAATTAATTACCAAATACACTATTCACGAATAATTCGCTGTATCAAGACTTACGTCATTAAGGAGAAATGAAACCGAAACGTAACTAAAATAAGTCCTAGTTCTATCACAGTAAAACATTAAAACACGCACTTAGTATCCTAAATTCAATTTCTTTATGTTCCTTGCCGAAAAAGAGTCTATAACTAAATTGAATCGTACTTAAAAAATAAAAACGAACTGTTAATTTATTCAACAGAATTCTGATAATCAAAATCATAAAATTGTTTATGAACCTTACATCAAAATCGAACAATTACATACGTACGTTTTCGTTTTGCGAGTTGATGATCCTTACATGGAATGATCAAATATAATGAATCTAATGAATGCTTCTTACGCAAACAGTAACAGCGTAGCTGAGATTCTTACGTGTATTGCGATCCATATACAAACTTTATTGACGTTGAAGGTGTTACAACTAAACACAATTCATTTGTACATACTGATATAATTTCGTCCTCTAAAATAAAAGACATTATTATAAAAATGTGTAAATCTTTCATATAAATATTTTATCCATATAAAAGTTTTATAGTTTTCTTCATTAATTTTAATCATTTCCAAGTACTTTAACCGATTCCTATGTTACATTTGATTTGTGTATAAATTATTTTTTTATTATTTTACAAAACTCATATAACTCAATATAAACACTAAAATTATATAACAAAATAATTAGTCACTGAAAACAAGTAAGTTCTGGTCGTATTTGCTGCGTGCTGGTGGAAAAGATATTTTCTTAGTACCGACTAATATTTTGGTTCCATTTTCAATAAACATCCGTTTTTGAAATCAGTCCAGTGATGACATTAATAAAAAAACGAAAATATTTATAGAAAATCATGGCGTCAAAACACTTGAATATACTGCAACCGAATTAAAGGCATTATTTAACAAATTATAGTTTTAGGAGCAATTTTAGATAATTTCTGTGCAGTTTAAACATGTGCTAAAACAAATATCCTGCAGTGTTCTACTGTTAAGTAACCGACCTTAAGATTTGTGACTAGACTAAGCTAAGATCATTTTAATAAGTATGCACGAAGCCTCGGTCGGTATCCATCACGATGCTTTTATTCCGTGTAAATACATACTCGTTATAATCTGATAATGATTACTGACTGTCTGATAATATGACTTTCTTTATGAAATTTTTAACATCCGTTTTCCATGTAATATGATGGTAAAATTCCAATGAAATAATTACTTCACTTTATTATTCATTTATATTTCGGAAATCATCTCATCGCGGTGTATGATGTTGAACAGAAGCTAATAAAATAAGTATCTAGATTATGAACAGTGCATTGTGCAGTGTTATTTTGAAGATTCTTTTGGAAGGACTTACACCCGCGTGCAAAGCAAAGAGTCCAAACTATCGTACTTTTCGGCGGCTAGTTAAAAATGTAAGAATTATAGGCAGGTTAAAATACTTTACAAAAATATAGTATAGTAGTTGGAGGATAAAAAGTCTAAATAATAATTTTCTCGTTTTAAAACATTGTGACTTCCAACCCTCTGCTGCAAAACACCGGACATAGTAAAGTTCATTTGTGATTATAAATATTATGAATATACAAACCATGTTACATTCATACAGAGAGCTGACCAAGCACACAGCGAACATAAAAACTAACTAATAGCTATTATCTTACTAATTCAATTTGTAACAAATCGCCCCGAGACATAGAGTAGGTGCTGCCTGCCTCTACCGAGACAAAAAACTCCCTAGTTCATTACATAGAAGTTTTTTTTTTTGCATAGATTCCCAACTGTAATTTAGCCCACTTTTTACATAAAGCCAAGTTTGGACACAACATGCCGCAATTCAAACACGTATACAATCTTTTGTACACACACGTGTCAGCAATCTTCGAAGTGAATGACAATAAGTTCTATTAATGAAATTAATATTTTGATTATGATGCATGAACTGACATAGTCAATATTCAATGAAAGATCATACAATCGACAATATTTTGAGAAGTTCATAACTTTACATTAGGTTTGTATTAAATTTTAAAAATCATTCACCTGCCTGTGGTGGCACTCACGTGGTGAAAACAATAATTTCATACTTCGAAATTTGCCGAATGCTTAATACGATCCCGAACCTGCAATATTGTAGTCTGTTGACTCATAAAAAATCCTAATTCAACCGGTCGCATTAAGAGGCGTCATTAGCGCTGCTGATCCAACATAAAACTCTTCTCATTGGCAAGTCGATTCTCAATTAAGTGTGAACTTTGCAAACGGGAGGATTCAATGCTCGTATATGTTAACCAACGTCTCAGAGACTTAGACCAGCTAACGCGATGTTTTGTAACAGAATGGAGCTATAATACATATAACTTATAAAATCTTGTATAAATCGGGCAGTCGTTTGTGTGGGCTCGGCTTACGCGACGGGCTGGCTCTGGCGGCAGGCGACGGCCGCCACTAGCGCCGCTCCACGCCCGCTGCCGTCCTCCGACAGCATCAGGTCGAACTGCAATCGAAAGTATAGGTAGCATTATACGCAAGCGATATTAACACTCGTTGATATGCAGAAAGAGCGTAAGGATTTTTTATGTGAGACGGTGGCAAGCGAACTGGCAGGCCACCTGATGTTGAGTGTTAACCGTTGCCCATGAACATTTGCAACACTCGCAGGGTTGCAGATGCGTCGTCACCGTTTAATAAAGTGTGCCCCGACTACGTCACTAATCGGACGAAACGAAGAGTAGAACATTTCTGTGAGGTCGTGATACTTACTGGGACGGACATGCGCGCAATTGTCAAGACTGTGGCATGGCCCTAAAACAATTAAAGCGTGCAGCCTTGTGGGACACCCGTTTTTACAGACGTCAGAGCATGCACCGTGAACAAAGATTTGGTTGCTCCAGTCCATTAGCTAAGTCCGTTGGTGATCTTGGATAGAATTAATTTGTGTCAAACCCGTTTTTTTTTCTACCTCATTACAGGCCAGATTTACTCATTGTAAAGGGGATCAAATAGAAACTTTTTAATTTATAACATTAGTGCGCAATTTCATTTTTACGTTTAAAATTAAGAAGTAAGCGTTTTTCAGAGTCCTGATTAAGATGTAATGTATGTTATGTGAATATGTACTCATTAAAAGATATGACTTCAATGAAACAATACTCATGATGCAATTCTTTTTAAATATTGATGTTCAAAAATATATCAGACGTTATGGTTAACTACAACATCACTGCAAACGCCAAGTACGGACATTTTGAGGATAATAAATAAGCCTCTTAATCGTTTCACACGAATCGTCTGATTGCAGTCTAAGTATCAGACACACGCACTGCTGATAATATTTCCGCTATCAAGTATAGAGTATAGCTTTCTTTACAAGTCATGACTAAAATACACTCGTGTTAAAGGTTGTTATATGTATAGTTACACAGTTATTTCTCAAATTCATTACGAATTGTTAGGAAAAACGTTAGTGCTATATTGTGAAGTCAATGTCATGTTTTGAACATTCCTTTACGTCACGTATTATTATGGGTGTGTAATAGGTCACACCGGTCGGCTTTGTGCGTAATAAGTCTCTATTAGCGCGATAAATTTTGTTTTGTTTATCTCCAATGGCACATTATCAAATGAACGTTGAACCTTGTATTGTAGTATTGAGGAGGCTTGGCTTCGTCTGATTGTTACGAATCATAATACACATAGGTTGTTTAAAAATAAATTAGCTATTTCAATTAAACGATTAATAGTGTATGACATTTTAATTTATTTTTTAAGACTCTGAGGTAAATTAAATCCAAACAGGTTAATGTAATGTTATCTATACTTACATATATTATTGCAAATTTAACTTAATTAATACAGCATCGGCATAAATGCGGTATTAATTAAGTTTTCTTCCGAAGATAACATTTGCACCGGTAAGCTTATTGGGCCATGGAAACTTAATGTTTCTTTAATGTATACTTTTTAATCCGGTCAATTGAAATTCTTTTTTTATCACTATTTATTGTTCAAGATACATGCAAAAGGCAAACAAAGGAAAGATTAAATAGTCGTCAGATGCTTACTTTGAAAAATATTATTACGTAAACATTATTAGACATTAGGATTTTTATTATAAGATTATCTTGAACGGAAATAAATTTTATATTAATAATAGAGACAAAAAATGACGGGAGATCTAAGATCGCATATTCGTCTCTGTCATGTTAGTATGAAATCCGTATGTGACAGGTAACAATCGATTTTGGCAAAAAAAATATTAAGAAACAGCACGAGGTCACTTTTGCATGTGTAATAAATAGATAAAGTCGTCGGGTACAAGAAAATGTGTATACTTTTAATGAGGAATAGCTAATGTAACTATATGTATAATACGTTGTAATGAGAATAAGGAAATAACGACATAGGTAACAGAAAACCGGCGTGAAGTGGATACGTCATACTTTTGTGTTTCGTCTGGTGAGTGAGGTAGCCGCTTCATTAAACCAATCTGCCTTCATCGACCCTACCGGTGTTGCGAATGTCCATGGTCGGCGGTTTTTGCTTAGCATTAGGTGAAACAGCTGCTTGCCACCTTCACTACATAATAGTATAAAACAAAGTCGTCCCGCTGTCTGTCCGTCCCTTTAAGTAAGCAGTAACCTTAGTTCTTTAAAACTACACAACGGATCTTGATGCGGTTTTTTTACTAGATAGAGTGGTCCAAAAGGGAGGTTTATATGTGCAATACAGCACGCGCGCGAAGCCGGGGCGGGTCGCTGGTCTCACATAAAAAAAAAGTATCGGGGGCTTACGTTGAGTCCGGGCTGGACGAGCTGGGCGATCTTCTCGCACATGAGCGCGTGGAAGTGCGGGTGGAAGCGGTAAACGGAGCCGTCGATGCCGACCGTCACCCGCGGCTCGGCCATCTTGTTGAGCAGCGTCGCGATGCCCGCCGACACCAGGTGGGCGGCGCGCCGCGACACGCACTCGCACACGTGCCGCACCGCCGCCATGTCCGCCTCGGACGCGTGCGACAGCCCTGCGCCACAGTTGCCATGTAACACTCCCGCCTTCGACAGCCCTGGCACCACTAGCACAATGAAACGCTTCCCGCCTACTACACGTGCGACAGCCCTGCCGCGACAAGTACTATGAAACACTTCCGCGTTCGACGCGTGCGACAGCCCTGCCACTCCAAACACCTTGAAACGCTGCCGCGTTCGACGCGTGCGACAGTGCTGCCACTACAAGTACCATGAATACCGCTTTCGACGCATGCGATAGCCATGCAACCGTACTATGAAACCCTAAGTGAAATTATTTTAATGTTTAATGTAAGAGTTAATAATGTTAACTCTGACACTAGGACGTGAAACTACTCAGTTTGTCCCGTGACCATGAACGCTGGAAACGGTTTTAAACGTCAATAATTTAAAAATCTAAGGTTTTTACGGTGGTAGGGTGATAGGAAAACATCAGTTTTGACTGCCCATCCGCGCAGGTCTGTCCCGGGTAGTACCAGGACCTTACACAAGACCGGCGTGAAATGGATGTGTTAATACTTTTACGTTTCGTCTTTCTTCGGCCCCTTTTATTTAAAATTGCCGACGCATTTGCGCTAACGCATACGGGTTGAAAATCCATTATCGGCGGTTATCACTTAACATCAGGTGAACCACTAGTTCGCTTTCAATATTCTTACATAAAAAGTACTATGTTGGACAACTAAGAAGACTAAGTAAGGACACTACAAAATAAAATAACGTACAATAAAAAAAACGAACAGAAAAAGATACGAACAGAAACGCTGATTGCGATTGTACTCCTTGTAACAGAAAAAAAAAACTGATTGCGATTGTACTCCTTGTAACAGAAAAAAAAAACTGATTGCGATTGTACTCCTTGTAACAGAAAAAAAGCTAATTAGTTCGGAGGGCATTACTCTCCCCTATAGATATAAACTGTTTACGTTTACTGAGACTTGGACGAAGTTCAGAGGTTGCGAGTGCATGCACGGATGCAATGTTTTGTCGTGATTCAAGAAATCACTTATGCTCTATTTTTCATGTTCTAATGGTAGTTATATCATTAAATTATACAGAGAACTCGTAAGTATTTTCGTTGTGAAACGTTTGTAGATTTTTACTTTCCTACGACCTTGTGACAACATTACACGAGTAATTCCGTGGTTTTCATCGTCTCATATTATAAAAGTAACAGAAGAAAATAATGCTAAATATGCAATAATGCTATGCTATTTAAATTACGTCGATTATTAATTAATATTGCTTTGACCAGATATATATAAATCATCTTTTTAACAAAACCAGTTCACACTTTGAAAATATAGTAATTAATAACATCCTGTATAGCGCTGTCGTCATTTCATTTCTTATCAATTGAGATTAGGCGTTTTGGCCAAAGGTACAATTGTGTGATAAAAAAATAAAAATCGTAATTCTTATCAATCGGACCAAGTGAGTTGACTTGTGTATAAATAACGTCAATGTTACACGTAAATTACTATATAAATTGACAATCATTTTAAACGACCTTGTTTTTTTTTTCAATGTAGCTTCTTTTTTCCGGTTATTTTAGATTAAATAAAAAATGAAGTACGAACATCGCTCGTAGTTACATGGAAGATTGTTAGTCAGTTGTTTTTGGTATACATCGTGGTTGCAAAAATCAAAGCACGAAATTTATTTTTTGGATGTCAAGATGTTAGTGTTAAGCTAAATCTATGTTTGGGTCGCAACCATTTTCCCGCGATTGCCATCTTTTAAATTGAGTGCGAATGGTTTTTACGCTGTATTGGCCTCTTTGAGCTGCATAGAATTTTAGAAAAGGTACACTATGATTAGAGAAAAAAATATAACACATTTAAATGGACTAAACGTATTATTTATAGAACATAATACCGCCGTATGTAGTATGTTATGTATAGAACATAGCCTTAGCCTTATAAATTTGTTTTTATTAGTAATAACAACAAAGTCAAAGCAAATAAATAAAGACATATGGACAATTAATTCAATGTGGTTTTTTATCGGTGTGTTTACTTTAAAGAAAGCGTTCCCATAAACTCGAGTTACCAAATGTACAACCCACTTCCAGGCCTCGCGAGAAATCACCTATCGATGTAAATTATTAAAAAAAAGTCGTAAAAGACAATCTAAAAGTACACAATAGTAAGTCTTTCTGAACCATAACATTACACGTCTACATTTTTAATTATGATAATTCAACTGCGAAGGACATTCATTTGTTTTTTTAATGGTAATTTTTTTAGAACGGATGTTGATTTTGTATATACCAATGACTAATGATTACAAGAAAACCATTGCAAAATAAGTTAACCTATTTATTTTTCTAATTTATTTAACTAGATCTTACATAAGTATTCGTTATTCGGAAGGATAAGGACTGGCCGAACACGCTGAATAACAATAATCAGCCAATGTTCTTTATAAAGAATTTTTAATGGCAACACACATTTGGAGAGGCGCAACAAGAACTTTTTTAATATTTTTTTAACGTTTTGAATATTCCCATTCAATCAATTACATGTACTAAAAGCATTGAAATTGGGAAAAAGGACACTTCCTCGCAAAGGGAACCTCTAAGCCCAAGTCTAAAAGGTGTTGCCTTAAATGTTCAGCATTAAATCTTTATCGCTCACTTTCAACGGTAATTATTTATAACACGATTTGTAAACTATTGACACGTAAGTCTACGTAACACAAAATTTGGTTGAGTCAGAGATATCAATCACATTTATCTTGCGTGTCATTTGTTATTGGTAATTATATATGCACTATATTATCGAATTTAAATTAGATTTGGTAAATGTAATCACACAATTTACTCATGAAACAACACCGATTCAATTCAAAATATTGTGTCGAGATTTTGGCGCCCAAAAAGGTATTTTGTCTGTCCTTTCAGATTGTGGTCCCAAATGGCGTATATCATCAACAGAAACAATATTTAAATAACTAAAGTATGTGGTAAAATTTCTAAAACAATTTTTTCCCTTATCGACTAATTAATATAACTAATTTAAGTTCCACGATACTCATTGTTGGTGTAATTGTTGTGATGTAACATCTACGCGTTCAGAAAATTTTATGTAACTATATTTACACAATCATCGATCGAAAGGTGTTGATATTATGCAATATGTGGGCAATGCCGCATACGAAGAAACGAATTTGAAACAGTCTATATACTATTCTGATATAACATTTTTTATAATTCTGTTTGAACGATGGCACTTTTTTATAATAAAGTTAGGATTAATCGACGCTTTTAAAGGTATTAAGTATCTGGTGATTGTCTTACTTTTGGTAACTTGTTTACCGACATTGCGTAGAGAAGTTGCGTCAGACAGTACACAGGCGAGGACAGCGTTGCCTGAAGGTATGTGCCGGTGTCAAACAAAAAATTTGGACGGAACAATTTATTTTACTCGTAAAACTCTCCTAAAATTCAAATGCCATAGAAAATTATTTGTCGACTGAATTTAAATGACAATGGAATAAGACCAAAGCGCTTAGAATAACTAAGCGTTCGCATACATTTGCAATAATGAAGCATTGTATATGTTTTCTTTTTATTCCACTAATACCACTTTGTCCATGTTCAGTGGACAAGCAATAAAATATTACAGTTTGCCTCTTAGGCGATTTTTTCTTTTCGTTATGTATTCGTTTCCTTTATAATGTTATTAAACAATCGTAATAAGGAAATATTGATTTTTTATTTCTAAATAAGAGTTTATCCCCGTAATGTTGTAATGAGAGTTGGAAACTTCTTGCCGCGTTTTTGGCCGGAGTATTACAATAGGCAGTTTATATAACCTCAGTAATGTTTAACACCGAAGGTACTCTCAAGATTCTATTACCGCCCGCCTCGTATACACTGTATATACGTTTCAACACACATAATAAATGGTTTCGTTATATGTGAAACGGTAGCTATAAAAGTATTCAAAATCTTAGTATTATGTATTTAGTACCACCGTATAGTTTTTTTCCGGTATTGAACAATGATGTTATATACAAAGATATGACACAGAAATAGAGGCACTCAAATTACACCAATTGTTGTGAATAGATTGCACTTCTATAGACCGCTATTGCTTTCCGTATCATACATACGTTATACATGTACACCGTGTTACCAACGCGACAATAAATGAACACACATATAGAGGATAAATTTTTAAAATTGTATTAAACATTTACATTCTTCAAACATCAATATTTACAGAGTTATAAAATTTTCCAAAACAAACAATTTTAGAACACCCTTACGTATAAAACTGTAATGTAAAGTTCATTTGTAAAGGTCACAAAGCATATGAATGGTTTGAATGAATTTAAAAGAGACAAAACATACTGTTAGAAGGAGAGACTTGAAATGCGACGCTGTGGCGCGAGTTGTATAGGGTGTTACAAATTTTGTTTCTTTTTTACTTAATTAGTTTGTTTGAAAAATATTTTTTTTTAATTAAGGATTTTGTTTAACGTTAATACTTTTTTATGATTATTGGCAAGTAGTGTTAGACGTGTGTTCATTTATTGTCACGATGGTAACGACACGCTGTATATCTGTCATATTCACTTATATGTATATGTCATCTAATGTAAAGCAGACCAATTTTTAAACGCCGCGCAGTGTGGACATGCGTCATCTATATTATTAAGCACCGTTGGTATCGAAGGTCGAAGGTCGCCATCGACTTACCGAGCTCTTCGAGGACCTCCATGCAGCTGGTAAAGTCGCCCAGCTTGTCTGATTCGATCTCCGACACGTATTTCGTGTAGAAGCTGCCTCTCTCGAAGAGGAGGTCTGACCCGTGGCCGCCGAAAAGCAGCCCCATCCGCGTGAACTTCACTAGCGCTAGACGCACCAGCTCGCCCATGTACATCCCCGATATCATTTTCTCCTGTCTGCAATACGACAGATCGGTTATTCATTTGAGTGATCTACGTTTAATAATAATAAAAAAAAAAACGTGTGTGCACTTATGTACACCCGTAAATACTTCTATAGTGTAACAAAAGATAAATATCCCCTGTGCCAGCACTCTGCGTTTTGAGTAAAAGACAAATGCAAAAGTGGGCAATTGACGGCGATTTAATTTTAAGAAATTTAACTTCAAAATGTAAGAGAAATGAAACAGCTTTAAGTATATATACAAAATATTCCACAACTAAAAGTATAGTTGGAGTTTGTTAGCAAGAATGCGCGGATTCATAATTGACATTTATTAAGGTTAAACTCTTGTTTGGAAAGTAAATTTTCTTTTCGAACATTAGTTTTTGTCTTTATATTTTGCAACAACGTTGGTTGTTGAAAGGTTTATTGCGAGTTTTTTTAGTAACGTTTTTGATTTTGATTTGTTTTAATTTCTTAAATCGGTGACACTTTGTAAGAGTATCATCTTAACATATAACTTTACTTTGTATCGATTTCCTCCGAATGCAAATGGAGTGCCGGCAGAATGAAAGTATTCAATACGGTTTAAGAACTATGAGCAAAACCGATTAATCTCGCAATCAAGTGGTTTTCGTATCTACTGATATTTCAACTGCGTAATGCTTATAAGCTAATGGGCGTATCCGAAAGGATTTAATAGTTAACAAACCTTATCCATTATTGAAGTAACTAGCAACTAATGACTGCTCGTTAAAATAATCTTATCAATTTAAAATTCACTGCGAAATATGATGCAATGATCTAGTAAATTGTTTCAACGGCTTTTTGCACTATCATCCTTTTCTTGAAATCATTTAGCATTGATATAACTATATCTTTGCTCATCTTTTTTATTAAATTGGAAGCAGTTCACGTACTTCTAAAAAGATGAGTCCAATAATGAGAATTGAGAAAGTCCAGAAACACTATAATGATCATTTTGACAGTCGTCTCATGCGTTGCGAATGACTAAAGAAGTCGAAAAAGTTTTATGGATTTACTATTATTCGAACGAATGTCGAAATTCGACTATATATCATTAAGGTTTAAATGTTACAAATTATTATTATTTTTTAGAATTAATCCGTCAATCTAACAATTTAGAAGCTTTTGGCCGAAATTTTTACTCTGCATTTTTATGACATTGACACTATGAACGTAAACAATTTTTATTTTATTTTATGGTATTGTACACTTATTTCATAGGTACATATTTATCTTTCAAGCCTCCAAATCAAAACTCACACACCTCCGTACATAAAGGGTTCCTGACTTTAATTATATGAAGCCAATATTTTTTTCATGACGAATCTAATGATATGGCAGTCATCAAATTCATTACAGTCTTATATTTATGAGGAACATACGGACGCACTTACCTAACACGTAATCCAACCTTTTTGTAGTGCTCCGAAGGTTTTTATCAATAACATAGATATTTAATCTATGCCTATTAAAAAAAAACGCGCGAACCGTCTACACGTTTTGTCTATGGTTATTGAAAATAAACGCGCGAACCGTCTAGATGTTTTGTCTACGGTTATTAAAAAACGCGCGAACCGCGGACTCACATCTGTTTCCCCGGGTTGATGGAGTTCGCGTCGACCTCGCGGTCGAACTCGGTGCGCACGAAGTCGAGGCTGCCGTCGTCGCCGAACGCCCCCCACTCGGTGTTGATGAGCAGGTCGGACTTGCCGGGCTCGCCGTCGAACAGCTCGCAGTTCTCGGTCTTCTCCACGTAGCAGGCGTTGCTGCCGGTGCCTGGACGGGACACGAGGGACACAGATTAAAATCACCGTAACACCTCAGACACTAGCACTAAGGGACCGTCCATTAACGTGGGCCTCTTGGAAAGGAATGTCACAAGGGGGTTGTATTAACAAATCAAGCGTATTTCTTTTTTCGTTGAACGCGCGATTTCTAAACTGAAATGCGGCGTGTGAGCTCGAGAAACGCCAGTTAAGGATTTCTCCGCCCGACAGAGAAACATTTTTATGGCGTTTCTTAATATTCCAGGATTAAATTGGATTTTACTTACCTGTTTTTAAAGATATTGTAAAGTTTTGAAGATACTTAGTAGGCTTAGTCTTAAACCTCACCAAGTATCACCAGGAGGGAGGGGGGGTAAAAAATTGCTAAAAAACATAACTTGATTAATGGACGATCCCTAAGTTAACGGTAAGCTAAACATTCATTTAATTCATAATGACAGAGGATGTTATAGACGTATGAGTATAGCATGCGGTGAAGGAATTAGATTTTGATTTATTATTTTACAACAACATAATACATGGTTAAATGAAAGCATTACAAAGAATTTATCGCGCTTTAAATTTCCGACGTTTCGAACACTTAACAGCGTTCATGGCCCTTTGAGAATTAATTTAACCATGTACTACTTAGATTTTTTTAAATAATTAAGATTCTTAGAAAATAAAAATAACTTACGATACATGCACTTTGTTTAATACTACTAAATTTTGTACATATATTTAAAACATGTACAATGTACAATGAGTTTGAAGTGAAAAAAGAAACTGCACTCCACAAAACAACACAAAATACCATTTACAATGTTCCAATCCTTAGTTACTTTAATAATATTTTTTAATGGCAAACGAGATAGCGGCCCATAAGATATATGCCATAGCCCTCCATTTGCATTTGCGACATCAGAGGCCTAACGACACTTGTTTACTGCTATTCACTAAAGCATGATGTCTAAACTATTGTTCTGAGTATTGTGAATATTATAACATGGTGTAAGCAAGCGACATTACCAAACCACCCGGAAACAACCATAACCTACCAACGATGAGTCCTATTTTGCAGTTGTGATTTTTCCACGCGCATGACATCAATGTGCCCGTAGTGTCATTGAGAATAGCGCATATATCGATCTGTACGTCCTACAAGAGTGAGAAAACATGCGTTTTTTTATACAAGTCACTTGATTTCGTATGTTACACCCGCTTCATATATGTTGATGATGATTGCAGAGGATTTCAATAGTTTTACCCAAAAAAAATTAGCATATTATGTTCGGTACCGAACACTCCTTTGTGGGGATTGTTGTTAAGCGACGTTAATGTTATTCAATATTATTAGAAATTGTTTTCGCGTACGCATATTTATTTCCAAATGTCACCAGATAGTAGAGTAGAATAAATATTAAAATATCCATAGATGTTGTTAGGAAAGACAGATTAACAGTGATTAAGTAGTAATAAAAAGTGACGATAAATTGACTACATTAGTGAAAAGCGACTTGCAAATTACAAGACTAGAGTTTTTAATTAAGCTAAACAAAAAATACGAAACATATTTAAAGATATGATAAAATGTCATCTTTCGACGATACCCATAATTAACATAAAAATATGTATATCAATTATCTCGTAATAATCGTAAAATCGAAAATTCTGTTAGAACTAATATGCTAAATTTAAATGTTATTGAAAACCTCTTTGCTCTCGCATCGGCTCCAATAATCATGCCTTAAAATGCTATGGAGAGCTTGAATCATCGTCAACTCACCGATAATAATTCCTACTCGACAATTGGGGTCCTTATGCGCGCACGACATAAGAGCCCCACTTGCATCGTTAAGAATTCCCATCACAGACAACGAAAGGTCCTGGAAAAATTTTGCCTCTTAACAGGATTCCAAAATTTTGACAACATCCAAGAACTAACGAGAATCATTAAAATTGTTTCTTTTAGATTAACAAAATATGATTGTGAACCACACTTTAAAAATGTTGATAATTGTGTGGTTTTTTTCACATTTTTAAATCCATATGACGACATTAATGTCATAACTATTAAATTAAGATTGCACTTTTAGTGCCCGCTGAGGGTTTTAGTACGGTATCACTCGAAGAAATCATACTTATTACATATTTTTTCTTTCTCTAAATAAATTAATAAGTATAAAAACGTTATTTTATAATGACAAAGAAACCTTATTCCCGTCACTGTCATTTATAATCTCATATGCTATTTTTATCTATTTAGATAACTCACCCCTCGTCTTGCTATCGCATCCTTGAGCCCTTGCACAACATCTTCTCCAACAACACCGCTGCAGGAGAATCCCTTGGTCCAGCGTTGTAAAATACCCTTCGTAAGACCCAGCTGTTTTAGCGGGAAACTAAACGTGAAGCCAAGCGCTAACCGCTCTTCATAAACATTGTGTTCCTAAAAATAAATAAGTATATTAAATACAAAAAAATAAACGATGTTTGCATATTCGCAAAATTATCAAAACTCTAATTTACCTTCATAAAATTAGCTAAACATTCGGCTATGTGGTCAAAAAGAGCCACCCCCGTTCCGGTCATAATGTGGTTCGGTATGGCGTAAATTTTTGATTGCATGTCGAAATGGTTTTCGCCTAGGTTTATGATTAGCACCCTAAAATTTGTACCTCCTAAATCTAACGCCAAAAATTTACCTCTTTCTGAAACGGAATAAACACAAAACAACTTAAAAATATTGCTTGCGAATTTAGCCGTACCTTAACAGATTTGGAAATGTATCATATTGGTGTAGTGTATGTAACCAAAACAATCAAAACTCTTGATTAAAGTTAGTAAGATAAGTGTAAGAAGATTTCAAACCGTCATCATGACAGGTTCAAAACCTTTTTCAGTTAGATATAAGTATAGCATATTTTTTATGGATTCGCATTATAATGAACGTTACAATAATTATGTGTATATTACTACAAAAAGCAATAAAGAAATAATTTGACAACTATCAATTCTTACGAATTAAATTTTCAATGTTGAATGCATTTAATATGGGACGTATAAAAAGCATTTACCCTTCTGAAATTTTTTAAAGATTCGTGTAAGTAAACTGTCATATAACAATTTTTAAAAAAGGTACAGGGACTCAGTACTTTATAATTATTATACCTAACATGCGAGTCTTTTTTAATTTACTTAAATTAGGTCTGTACCGGAAAGTGAACTGACTAGAGGTTGTTGTAATCGATTACATTATTTAATCACAACATTAAATAAAACAAGTATTGTAATAAATTTACCTTTCCCATTGGGCAAATCCTGTATATACGTTATCCAACATTTGACGATTGCAGTAGCGTGAGTATCTTTCCCAAGTCCTTTTAGCAGGTCCGTGTGTAGCCTGCTCATTATCTCCCTGATCTGTTTGTCGGTCAGATGGAAGACCTCGCACTCTTCGCGAATCTGGTCAACACAATTTTGACGCACAAATGTATAAAAATAAATCTGAATGTTAAAATAGTGTTGTCAAAGTATTTTGTATTAAAAAATTTTATAACATGTCATAGTTCAGAATAAGAACGACGGCTGAAAAGTTTGCATCCAGTTCATGAAGTTACACAAACAACAACTTGGTACCCAGTTTTGATAAGGTTAGCATACTTCATTACTTCAGAAGATCAATTGTAGAAACAAATCAGTTTTATAAAATACGAAAACATTGCGTTTACGTAACAACAAATAACAAAATGCGATACGGATGAATTAAAAGTAATCTCACTTTTTATTACCAGAAATATTTTATATGGAAAGCATATGTAAATACAAAAAGTCAAGGCGGTCCAAACAAATGCAATATCCGTGCACAAGAACTAGCTGTGCGGGCAAACCGTCCATTATCGCGAACGAGTTCCACAAGGTCAAAGCGGTCATTACAAACTCTCTACTACTTTGCCTATGGTTGCTTTGCTTTCCCATAAATTTACAGCCGGCAAATGCTCCGGATAAAAGTTATGTAACAACAGATATACCGTATTTTACTCACCCGTGGCAAATCATTAACGGCCATACCCATTTTGGATATTTTTCTTTTCTTTTTTAAAAAAAATCGAATTTTGCACACCACACGTTTGGTCGCCTATTACACGACCAACCAAATCAACTATAAAATGAGGAATACGACGCTGAGCTGACCGTCGAACGAACGTGCCTCATGCCGAACTGACTAATGCGCACGTTTCATTCATGATAATAAACTGTTGTTATCCCACTCGCATGTGCCAATACCCTACGTGCAAGAGTAGTATAGCTAGCGAGTCTAATAAAATAACGGAAAACTAAATTATTTGAACCAGCACTACCAACGAGTCTATTTGGTTTTCTTATTAGAATTATTGTATTTGTTATCTACATGGCGTTTATTGTTTCTTTTATATTTTGTTCGGGAACAACAAAAAGCTGTTTATCTTTAGTTCCTCAGGCGCGCCTCTTGATATACCGCCGCGATTGGCTGACGCGTGGGCTTGTTCATGACGTCAGTCGCATTCCTCCAGACGACGTACGTCCTATTACATTTGCGTTAGTGTTAGTACAGAGTAGTTGTGTTGGTGTATTCGTACTTCAGAATGTACGCCGGCATTTTGCGATATTTTCAATTATCAATATATTACAAATAAAAATTATACTATGCATATAAATATTTTATAGCCTATGAATATTTTTTTCTGGTACCTACTTATCTGTTTGTTAAACTTCGAAGTAAGTTCAAATTACCTATCACTTTACCACAATTTCCACATATCAATTTCCCACACGGGACAACTATTTGTGTGACCCACAGATAATTGTTCCGAATCTGGGTGTTTGTCCGCGTGAAATTTGTTTGTAAAACGTCCTTACAACACAGGATAATGTTATCCTAAAGTAAGGGCAATGTTTCTTTAAAGAAAAAACAAAAAACAAAAAAAAACCTACGAGTACATAGATCATAGAACACGCTCATAGGTAGAGCTAAATATAAATGTTTATTATAACTTAAAACCACCAAAGGCAACAGATGTTTGAACGACGAAGCAATGTTTAAAGTATATTTCCATTTTTCCATTGAAGAAAACATATTATTCGGATACTTGATTTATTCTCGCTCTATTATCCTCAAGACAAAAACCTCAATTCTCTGTTCTTAATTTATCCTCAAGGTTAAATTAAGAACAATTAAATTCGAATATGGAATCGAATTATATCGCTATAAATATTTTTTTTATTATAAAAATTATTTAATACCATTTTTTTTTAATTTCCGGGTACATATTTATATCTCTATGGCAATAGAGAAGCAATTAAATTAGTTATACGTATGGCGTTGTCCTCTGACTATTTCTGAGTCAGGTGCAGGTCGGGTACTTGGTATGCACTGCAAACCAGTTAGTCCATACAAAGTTAGACAGGATGCAATGACCTGTGACGTCAAGGCCACCCGTCGATGTCATTTATTCCAAGTATTGGTGAAACAACAATAATGTACCGAAATAATTTCAGCTTTTTACTAGTTTCATCGTGTGTAAATTCTGACAATGTAAATAATCGTTATAAATTTCAACGCTCCGAACATTTTTTTATCTAATTAAGTAGTTGACTAATAAAAATGTTGAACTTTTACTTATTTTATTTCGATAACCATTTTGAGCTTCCTTAAAATAATGATCTAAATAAAATAGCATTTATCTACGCTCTTAGTTTAGTGTTATTTGTAGTTGTGAATCATAAATCATGAAATCAACATGTACATGTGAATAAAATCGACAATTGAAAAAATACATATTTAGATATTAGTTACCATAATTTTTTCAAAAAACTATAATTCGCACAAATTGAAAAAGGCGATATCCAATTTATTTTCGTACACCTCGCGTTAGGACTAACGCATTTACAAACACTTTCTTGGCATTGTTCGTTGCACCTCTTGGTTATTTTTGAATGTCTCGTGACAGCTACGGTATCTACCGAAAACAAAAACAGCCACCTAGTTTCCTTTAATAATATATTTTATAATAACTTTCCTTATGTGTCCTCTTCAAGTCGAATAACACGCTAGCATATTTTGAATTTAGAATGGATTAAAGTAGAATATCTGCATTGATAGAAAACTGACATACTAACGTAATCTCGTCATGCTTGGGTAATCTGAGTATAATATTTATTAACGAATCCTTGAACATGGTAACGCGGAGATTCACTTTATTACAATAGCTGATAATTGCAAATCGGTGTTATTTAATTTTTAACTGGGACTTCCAAACACTGCGAGTCCACATAAGCAATAAGTCTTATAAAATAAAATTCTTTCCCAGTAATATAATTCCAAATATTAGTTTATTTTATCGAAAGAAAATTATGTGTGTAGGTAACAAAAGAAAAATAACTAAAAATTTTATCTTCTGTGCCTAAATTCTTTGTTTAGGATAAAAAATTAAATGCATTTGATAACAGTTTAAATAAATAAGTAAATGTCAAAAAGTTGTTATTGGTTGCCATGGTAATACCGTGATATTGGTCGAAATTGGTCGCTTTGAAAACAACTTCATCATGTTGCATTTTGAGGGTCGGTGTGCGCGCGCATCGTAAAAATTTTACTCTCATATTTTTTTCTAAACGCGCCAAGAGAAGTATAACTTCAGAAATATATCTAAAATGATATTTTCCTTAACAACGTTCGGCAAGATAAGAGACATTCCCAAATCTGTACAAGCAGACATTTTATCGCACCATTTCGCCTTCGTCTAGAGATAAAATATTGTTTCAGTTTTTATAGATATTTTCAGATAATAATTTTATTTACATATTTAAATACTTATAGAATGTGAAATGCACAATTACCACAAAAGTCTTTATCGTCTAAACATTGGCGATAGTCTACAGACAGCTAGTTTTGATGAGAAACTTAAAATGATTAATTATTTTAGAAAATATTTTTAGCAACAGGTTAATAATGTCCCTTAATAGGGATCTTAATATATAACAAAATAATAATTTGCGCTTCAAAATAGAAGTACGATCTTTATTTAATCTAGGAACAGCTCAATATTAAGTAACATTTCACGTTTCCAACGTTAAAATCATGTATGTTAAATTATAACACTATTTCGATAATATATATGTGGCTTACGAGGTGTAAAATTATTTATTCAAATAATCGCAAAACCTGTTCCCACCAGATTCTAATGATTTAGCAAAAAAGGAATATTTGTAGTTAGTTCAACTAGAAATTTTAGAACCATCATTTTATTATTGAACTCACTTACCGTATAATTTAGTTAAACGTGTAACAACAAAAACGTAAAATAATAGGTTTGGAAATAAGTTTCTTCGCATTTTATATGAAAATTCAAAACATTTTTTTATAAAGTTTATTTACATTTAACTAAAGTACGTAGATCCATCTTGTAGGTAGGGAGATAATCCCATTGCTATAGAAATTCTGGGGAAGTGATTTTGGCATTCCTCTCATGATGTTAACCTGACACTGCCTAAAGAATTCTGAAGAGACCGAAACAAGTGGAAATCTGAAGGTGCAAGGTCAGTAGTATACGGCGGATGTATTAACACCTCCCAGCCAATCTCTTTTAATTTTTGCCGAGTGGCTAAATTGTGTGAGGTCTAGCGTTATCATGATGAAAAACCACACCCCTGTTGATTAATTTCGGCCGCTTTCTCTCAACTTCTTGCTTTAATCTCATCAGTTGTTCGCAGTAGAGTTCAGAATCAATGGTCCTGCCTGGCGGTACAGCTCATAATGAATAAAGCCCTTCCAATTCCACCATACACACAGCATTACATTGTTGCGAGATAACTCAGGTTTCGCCAGAGTCTGTGAAGCCTGACCAGCCTTTGACCACGATATTTTTCGCACGTTCTTGTCGTATGTGATCCTCTTTTCATCAATAGTTATCAGGTTTTTCAATAATGGTTCGGTTTCATTACGTTGTAATAAAGAATCGCAAATGAGTACACGGTTCATTAGGTTTCTTTCAGTGAGCTCATGAGGCACCCAAATATCGAGCTTTTTTGTGTACCCAGCTTTTTTCAAATGCGCTAAAACTGTTTTTTTGGTCAATTCCCAGTTCTTCTCCTGCTACATCGTAACTACTGATATGCCTTCTTGCTTCACTTTTTCAAAAATGGCATCCATTTTAGTCGTAACAGGGCGCCCAGAGCGAGGTGCATCTTTGACATCAAAATTTCCGGATTGAAAACGCTTAAACCAAATTTGTGCTACTCTCATAGACACTGCACTAGGTCATAAATATCAAAAAAAATTTTTGCGGCTCGCGTTGCATTTTTACCTTTTTTGTAATAAAATTTTAAAATGTATCGAATTTCTTCAAAGTAAAGAAAACAAATGAAAATCACACATTTTCCTAATTTGAATATGGAATTATCTTTTTTAAAATTTAAACTTTTTAATGATATCAAAACCAGCCAGATACAAATGGTATATCCAAAGAAATTATATTATAAGTACATACATACTATTTGCGAAAAGACTTTTTCTCCAATCTAATACAAGAAATGATCGTATACTTTTGTCTATTTTTAGTATAGTTTCAAAGTACCCATACTTTTACTAGAAAAGTGCGCTTTCAATCTGATGTTGTATATTCCCAATTATAGTAAAGCAGATAATATGACGGTGAGATTTATTAACAACAAAAAATTAACGAAAGAATTATTTTTCAGTTTCCAATTCAAGCGACCTGTAGTTTTGTATTGTTCAAGGGTAGATGATATTTTTTCCAATACTGCATATCCATTTTTAATATACTTATATTTTTAATTTACTATGGCAAGAAATTAGTAGCGTACCCTCTTTTGGTCGAGGTTACACAGTAAATAAAAATAATAAAAAATATAGCGGGGAACTCGTCGAGGGATGTGAACTGCGAACATAATATTACAGTGGGTATAACAGATAATTAGATCAGTTAGCGTATCGTTTGATGTGGTATGTCAACAAACATCTTTATTACTTAATTTACAATGTTGTGTCAATCACTACATTTAGTTATAATATTCCCATCTAGCCGATCTTGGAAAATTTTCATATTATGTCAAATATTTAAAATGCTTATACTCACGATGTCCCGTGCTTGACGCATATCGATTCGTCTTGTCAGTCGCGACGACCGAGATAAAAGGTGATGAACGAGGAGCGTTGGCGTCCACAGGGTGCTGTCATAAATTCTACTGGGCACAGAGATTCGGAGTAATATCCGCGTTCAGACGAATACCGGTATATCGGAAACCGTTTAGTCGTGCAGAAGTGAAAGGAACCGATTAGTGTGCGGCGCGGGTTGGGCGCTTGCACGGCGAGCGAGTATGGGGTCACCTTGAGACGACGCGTCGGCGGCGCATGTGCACCACACCCTCCGGTGCCCCCCGCCCCCCTTGCCGCGTATTCCCCGCGCGCCTATAGACGTCACGCCCGGCCCCCGACCGTGCCGCGGCGCGGCGCTCGCTTCGCTGTGCTCTTGGCGCTTACCGTTCACGTGATGTCCTTCACACAATCCGCGTTAAAATAACGCAACAGCTGTGAATGCCTTATGAAATATTTCGATTGTAACTTTCTTATACTACTTACTTAAAAGTACAAATTCTTTAGCAAATTAACATACGAAGGTGAACACGTACCTGTATGTTGGCAGAAAGTAAAAATTTAAATCAGAATTATTTGTATCTATTGATTTATTAAATTCGATAAATATGTATTTCGTGACAGAATATGGAAAACATTTTACCGCTAAGTATCTAGGACCATACTTTTCCAATTGATTTAATAAAGTCATAAAACTTATAATGTAGAGAATAGGGTTGCCACCGTTTTAAAGAAAATAATTATAGTACCTATTATTTTTTCTGTTATAAAAATATAGTAAGTAGGTACTCTTAGGAAGTTAATGGAGAAAGCAGTACACATTTATTTCTTATTATTTATTTTGATGTTTTGTTTTCCATGAGCATTAATTATAACTTTTTGCTTTGGTCAGCAAAGTTCTATCATTATTCAAATAAAAATAAGAATCTGAACAATTTAGATACACATTAAAATATGTTAACAATTTTTTTTTTCTTTAAAAATAAATTAATAATATAATAGAACCATCGACGCTTTCAATATTTCCTTTTATTTAGGATTCATTAAAGATGCATTAAATCTTGCGTCTTTTTATTTATATTGAATAAATGTATAATATAATCCGTAAGTTGTAAAACTTTCAAAATTATGTAGTTCTTCATACCTAGCAAACCGTATGTACGACGATAGGCACAAAGGAGCCAGTTCATTGTATCAAATTAGTTATTACGACGAGGTTTACGCTGGGCGCCCTCAGCGTCCGGAAAGCAATCCAGATTTCAGATATGTAAAACTACTCTTTGAAGCAATCTCAAGCATCTGTAAAGGGCTTCTAAAGGAGAGCAGCGAAATATCCTACATATAAAAATTATTTAAATTTTTAAAATGAATATGTATATATATATGTTTAAATATATAATATAGATAGGGGAGATGTTAGAATACATGCGTCATCGCTGGTTTCTTGGAAAGGTTGTATCTGTATTTGGAATCGGCGTGCCGACGTGCTACCGAACATGTTTTTGGTTTGTGACCCGTGATGTTCGTCACGTGAACCCTCTGCATTCAAATAACCATATATATAGTTATTTCTTTTAATTTGACATTTAACATTTATCCGTACTAGGTATTACAAAATTTTCGCGATGGACTAATCGTGTAATCATGTCAAATGGCTTTTCAAATGATATTCTTATATCCTTTCCAGCAAACAAACCATTTCGAATATCGTTCCACAACGAGAGTTGTCGCCATTGCTTCTTAGAAATTAAAATGTTTTATAGTGCTAATCTCGAACCCACGTCTTCGTCAGACGTGGGTTCGATTCCCACAGCGGCGACAATCTTTTTGTACTTTTTCTAGACATTTTAATGTTTAATCTTAAGTGTAGAGGTTATCATTATAAAAATTAAAATTTCAAAAAAACTCAAACATTTGAAAATCCATTTGACAGCTGATTAGTTGACTTCTACGATGATCAGTGTTTCCGAATCCGGGCGTTAGTTTCAGTCCCAGAGTTATAAAATGTCAATAATACGTTGGAAATTTTTAATCTGTCTTATTTACAGTACACGTGATTCAAATGTGAGAGTTTTTTTTATCATGTTAATTACATCGCAAATCTACAAAAAACAGAAAACGAACTATTTAAGTCAACGTTTTATGCTTTTGCTTTCAGTCAAGGGCATTCGGTCTCGGGTCTCGCATCGTTGAGTATTTTATAAGTCAGTTTTTAAGTGTAAAGATACAAGTGATGGACACTGCAAGTAATAGTGTAAATTCTGGCTTCATTCTCATTTTTCAGTAGGCTTAATGAAGACTTGCAAGGATGTGCTTCGTGAGGTGGTGCACTTTAAGGATACTCGAGTATGCGGCTCTAAAACCAAACTGCTTGTCGGGTATAATGTTTAGTGAATGAACGCATTTTTTAATCCTTGCTAGGATAATGTTCGTATAGTTTCACCGCTCGCGGAAAGCACACTTTTGGGGCGGCGGCGGTTCGAAGCCCGTTCTCTTGGCTTATTAGTTTTTTTTTAATAAAAACTGGCTAGCACTTTTTATTACTTTGGGGATACCTATGAAATATGCTCTTTTCCACGTATGTGGGGAATGTGCAGCTGTCGAGAAGGACATTAAATATTGCTACTAGTAAACAAAAGAGATAGGAGGGGAGTAATTTAATTATTCTGTTGCAGATTGCGTCCTGGTCGGGCGCGAAGCGTTTTTAGAGGTTTTTAACGATTGTAATCATCTTATTGACCGAAGAAAGGTGGCAATTCCACAAGCTTTGCGAATTTGAAATTTTTTGATAATACTTGTGTGCATAATTCAGCAAAATCAGACAAATTTAAACTGCAATATTGAATCGGCATCAATTTAAGCGCAATACCAATTGCTGAGATCTTAGTTTGTTTTATTATATCTTTCTATTTTGTTGCATAATGTGTTTAATTTTTTCATATACATACCATAGTTTAGATGTGAAAATATCACAATGTTTTTCTAACTTAATTAACTGAAGATATATACTAATATTTCATGGCCAATAAACCATATGAAAATTAAGCAACCGATGCATAAAACTGGGAAACCTGTTTTAATTTAAAACCTGACTTTGTTATGACTTACTACCTCCTACTTATATACGCTAACAAATACAGCCGATGTTAGCATGAAACAATGTCTTTACGCTCACAAGGATGCCGAAGTGGTGGTGTCTAGACATGTAAAAGTAATATAAGTTTGTAAATTGGTATTGATATAAACACTTTTGCGCCCGACCTTCGCCGTCGCTTATCATCAAGAGAATGTTTCTGAGTCACAATGACATTGTCAATGAAAATTGTGGAATAAATGTTGATATTTTCTTTCAACAACTAGATAAACAGTATTGAAGTTCGGTACTAGATTAAGTTTTATATAAAACATAAGATCATGCTTCTATTAACACAAGATACAACATACATGATACATAATGTACCTAACCAGTTTTGGCAGGACTACCTACATACGTAGTATTTACTTTAGGTAACCACACTACAACCCAAATTATCTGCGTTAACTATCTGAGTGCAATTTTAAATACATACCAGACATGGAGCAGAATAATGCGTGATACAAGAAGATAACACAATAGAAAAGGCTTTTACTCAACAGCAGGATAACAAGAAGATGATGAAAAATATTGCATTTATATCGATATTACAATTTTGATCAAAACGAAAATTTAGTATTTATAACATTTTGAAAATTTTTGAAATGATTAGAAACAAATAAGACTAGAATTTTATTATTCTAATCAAAGCTTGTATGACAGGTTTACAAACAGAATAATATATTATTTGGCAGAGGCAGGTTATAAAAAGACCTTGATTGCTTAAAAGTCACTGGTTTGTCGCTTGGGAATGTAAAATGGTATGTTATGTTTTTCGGATTTTTCTTTTTAATTTTTTTTGGTGGATAAGATTTTTTGCTTGTTTTATAATTTATTACTACACTTGTTGGTTCAACAAGTTATGTAAGTAACGGTGTAAGAGGGATGAAGAAGAATGAATGCACATAATTTACGATGCTAACATTTGTAATAAATTAATGACAAATCAATATAGGTAGTTTGAGTTATTTGTGAAACAATCGCTTTAAAAAAATATTGATTTTAATATTAAGATAATGCCTCCATATTAAAACCACAGTATATAATAGCTACTCGCTAAAAATGAGTTTCGCAGAAATGAATAAAAAGAAACACACAAAAATAAAAAAAGCCTTGATTGGATGACTGGTATATTGTACTTTGCTGTAAATAGATATCGATATATGATTTTTTGTAAACAAAAAAGAATCGGTAGGGATCGAACCTGCGGCTTGGGAGTGCTTAGCAAACCCAGTCGCTTTACCCATTAAGCCAAGCGAACCGATGGCGATGACCTCGGGGCGCGATAATCTCGACATCTATCTAATCTACGTTCTTTATTGCATTTTAAGCAACGCTGGCCATCTAGCGTACGGTATGAAAGATCTTTCAAAAGTATGAATTACTACCACGAATTTACTTATAGAGGGTTACCATGAAGTATAGTTTTATTCTCTAGTTATGGAAAATTAGTTGAACTTATTGCTTCCATAACATAGGTTCCACTATCGATTGCGGTCCAAGCCGAGGTTCAAACCTCCATTTAAGGGGTCTTTGGATCGTGTCTCCCCAAGGTATTTTATAGATGCAGAATATAGTAATGTAAACTTTGCGGTTTAAATGAATTGAATGTATATGTTACCGGCCAAACCCGTTTTCAGGACAAACTAGTTTTGCCTAAGCTAAACTAGTTCTTCGCATATAAGATAGGAGTAACTAGATTAGGCTAGGCAAAACTAGTTTGGCCTAAGCTTATTAGGATAAACCAGTTTAGGCTAGTCCAAACTAATTTGTCCTAAGCCCGATAGGATAGATCAGTTTAGGCTAGGCCAAACTGGAATAGCCTAGTCTAAACATTAAAGTATATCTAAAAAATCAAAATAAATAGATAAACTGAATAAAATACTCCGCAATTGGAAAAAAATAATAATTTTTATTGAAACCATAATTATTCGTCGTTAAAAGTAATGGATAATTGGTAATACAAACAATCATAATATAACAAATAATAAATGTTTTTATTAGCAAGCAATAACCATAATTATCTCAATTATTAAAATTGTTATTTATTTTTACATGGTTTGCTTTGGTGGCACTTGTATTTGAAGAGTATCATTGCCTTATTGTACTGGCATCTGTTTGTGGAACATTTTTTGTTGCAGCTAGATCTCATAAAACCTTGGCTTGATCCAACTGAAGGTTTCGTAGATGCAGTCCTTAACGATATTTCAGAGCCGACGAGATTGGTTTACATCTGCTACCTCTAAAAAGGAATGACGATCGAGGAGGGGTGCGGGAACGCCCGCATGTTGTACTTGACATGTTTGCTCAATTACATTCTTTGCTTGAAATGTTTAGACTAGGCCATACCAGTTTATCCTAGAGTGTGCGTATTTATATCAGGATCATCTAGTTTGGATCTTATCGGGCTTAGGACAAATTAGCTTGGACTAGTCAAACTGGTTTATCCTTTTGGGCTTGGGCCAAACTAGTTCGGACTAGGCTAAACTAGTAACTCCTATTGCGTATAGGAAGAACTAGTTTAGCCTAGGCAAAACTAGTTTGTCCTAAAATCGGGTTTGGCCGGTAACATATATATAAATATGTTCATAATTTCTTTAACTATATTACTTTATATTTATTAAACCACTTCATTATCTTACACTATCTTCGCCTCAGTGATAACGTGATGTGAAGGCGTGTTTCTACACAATTTTCTAAGAATTTTATTGCGGTATTTGTATTTAGTTAGTCCGACGAACTAATAATATACGTCGTGAATATATGACTTAGCCTAAAAAGATGATGTACATGATTTTGTACATTTTTACAGGATAGTTTACCTTTCCCTTTGAAGACACAACTTTTGAAAGCCGAACAACATTCCAATAAGCTCCAAATGAACTCGAGTCGAGCACCGATAAAATGGCAATCGATTAGGTCTGATCATTTTTTTGGATCGAGCTTGGGCAGTCGTATTTTCCGGGCATCTACTAAAACCTCACAAACGTTGCGGTAAATCTAAGGGATTATATTTGGAATGAACACATCACAAGAACCAGTCATAAAATGTACCACGCACAAACTAAATTGAAGCGACACGAAACAACACATAATAACAGCAGTTTCCTCAACTTATCAGGGGATTTACGGTTGTAGTCAACACGTGAGTTATGCGCCGTCGAGGCATCAGACTACGCTGATGTAGAGTGGTTACCTTAACCATGATATTTTTAGGGACAGTCACATGTAGAAAATAATATTGCTTCTGGATCAACGTTTTGGTTATGCGATTAAAAACAGATTAAAGATATTAAAGATTATTACTTTTATATTAGACGAGTACGCGAGTTCTAGACGTTTGCTGGGTATTTAACTTATTCGCGTATTAGGAGCTATAAAGCAACAGTTTTGGATAACAGCTAACTAACTCAATGTAATGTAATTAAAATTATACAAATGTAGTTCACAACACCCAATGTTCCGTGATTAGCGATACCAATGGACAGATTGTTGTTTAAAGTAACAGCCTATACATGTCCCACTGCTGGGCAAAGGCCTCCTCTATACAGAGAGTATCAGGGCATAGTCCACCACGCGGCCCCACTGCGGATTGGCGGACTTCACATATCTTCGAAAAAAATTTTTTTTTTGTTATTATTTCGAAAATATGCAGGTTTCCTCACGATGTTTTCCTTCACCGCGGAGCACGTGATAAGTCAGCACTTAAAGTTAAAAACTTCATTGGTGCCGGCACCGGGGATCGAATTCAGGTTGCTCGAGTATATTGAAATAAAGGCGAGCGCCCGGACACTGAGCTATCACGGATTGTTGTTTATTAACGGTTTACCTGCCTTTAGATTCTGTAGAGTGAAGTTAGCGAACGCTAGCAGAAAACACGCACAGATACCGGTCCACCTGTGAGGATTTGGTACTCTTCTGAAGTTCAGAAGCTGCTGATTGGCCTAAACATGATTTTTTATTCTATTTGATTGGTCAAAATTTGGCGCATACCTAACCATTTCATGTAAATACTACGAGTATATTATTAGCAACTAACGTCGCAACCTTGTAGCACGTTGAAGTTCATTATAATATTCTAGTGACCCACCCCGGCTTCGCACGGGTGCAATGATGAATTTGTTTTCGACATCGCATTAGAAACCTCTAGAATTATCAGTTCTCTACTATATTATGCATGAGTTATACACATACCTTCCTCTTGAATCACTCTATCTATTAAAGAAAACCGCATTAAAATCCGTGGCGTAGTTTTAAAGACCTAAGCATATATAGGGACAGACAGACAGCGGGACGACTTTGTTTTATACTATTTAGTGTGATAGTAGATTAAAGCGTATTATAATACTACATATAATTTGTATATTTTCTTCCAGACAACTTATTCAGCCCAAAGCGTAAACAAGATTTTTCCCAACAAAGAGCACATTCCAAGCCATGATTCCCCCAAGGACAATTATCGTATCATACCTTCGTAAGGGGGTTTAAATCCTTCCTAGTTTGACGTTGCATGCATTTGAAAGTAGGACAAATCCAATTAATGCTGGATGCGCTGCCATCCTATAAAAACGTGGCTCAACTAGTTTTACTTTGTTAGGTGTTCATTAATTCATATGTGTAAATTCATTCAACTAATCTAGCGAACAATTAAGTATACCATGTGATATCTTTAACGATGATCAATCCACAAGAAATCTAAGCGAGTACTGATGATGGAAAAATGTTCACATTTTCTTTTGATACTTTCTGTTTTATACTAACGATACTCTTTGTAAAATGGAGTTAATTGATATGCATATAAAAACTTAATTAAATATATTGCCTAAAAATTTTGTAAAACATTTTCTTAAAACAAATCGCATGAAAAATTACCATTACATACCTTCTCTAGTAAGATAGCATTAAATTGTATGAATGTTGATTTGGATCTTTGCATTCATAAAATGTAAAAATTAGAGTTGTTTTTACCTTACGATTCACCATGTCCTTCGGCATTTTTGCAGGATTTTTCCGAAGTCTTGGTCGCTACACTCCACACAACAGTCAACAAATATATGTCCTCAATGTTAAGCCGACACGTCTTTTCTATAAAGTCCCCTCAATAAAATCCTTTATCTGTGCACAATATACTCGTAATCTTTATCTAAATTGAGACCGGAATTGCCGCTAGGCTGATATACAGAATAAAATTTTATAATTGTCGTATTATACGTGGGGTCTTATACCTACATTAAAGGGTTGTTTGTTCGTTAGACAATAAACAATTCATTTTTCCGCTAAGATAATGTCGTTTTGTTCGTATGAGGTCTTTCGAGAACTAAATAAGAACTTTCTGTTAGGTAACACAGCACGTTGCAGATGCCTTGGCACGTGCAGGAAAATATATTGGCTATCACCCAAGTGCTCATGGCTTGTTTGTACCAAATATAATAATTGTTTTAATTTAACACATTAAATGTTAATAAAGTAGTTGTCGTATACCCAACTTATCTGCTTTTAGTTTACAAAGATACGTATGATACAAAATAATATTTCATATATTTTTTATTCAATTGAGGACAATAAATTTAAATGCGTTTTTTAATAAAAAGATAACAATTATAAAAAATCTTCCCTATATCAGTAACCATAGACATAAAATTAATATTATGTATTAGTATTATAACTTGCTATAATATTAAAATTGCGGAATATTATCCTCTTTAATTATACATTATGAAGGGAACATAAAGAAATATATAGAACGTACCGATTAGCAACGCGACTTCACTAGAAATGAATGGAAATTATATGTAAGCCGCTGCACTAACTAAACACGACCTTTGCCTTGAGGTTACCTATCATGATAATGATAACATCAGAGGTTTATTAGCATCGTATAATTAATGTTCTCGCAAAGATTACGCTCAGCAAACTGTATTAGTTAAACAATAATTGTAAGAATTTTCGAATAGTTTTTCAAACAACAAGGAACTTATAACCAGAAGCACCGGAGTTTCGTACATGACAAAATCTTTGCTTACTTTAAAATTTCACAGTTTTCATAGTAACTGTATAGAGGTAAATTTAAACTATAGGAGTTTGAATAATTCTGTTTTATTTTTCTGTGTCAATAGTTTAAATACAAAAGAGTTTTATTTGTGTTGATTTGTGCCGTCATAGAAAGCAGGAAAATGCAGGATACTATATTTTTATTTTTAACTGGATTTTCTGCTTTAGAAGTGTTAATTTTTTACCCTTAAATACCTTATCATAACTGTAAATTAAAATTAAGATAATAACAACTTTTTCATTTATACTTCAATATGTGTTTTTTTTTATTTCAGTAACATTTTAATGAATAAATTATTTTACCATATTTTTAATGCATAATTCTAATTCAATCTTTAATTACTTATATATTTTTCAGTAATTTTTATTTTATTGTTGTCAATTATAACAATAAAGTTTATGAAAAATAAAACAAATTTATTTTCAATTTCGTTATGTGATTTTATGAACATAAACAAAAAATCGATGCTTTTCAAGACTTAAAATTAAAGCATTAATTATAAGTGAATCGTGTAAACCTCCAATCGTTAAAAACGAATAAATATTATAAATGGAAATTCATCCAATATCTAAGGCATGTAACTATGTGTGTAATTATTAATCTAACTAATTTGGGAAAACTAAACCTATTGCTAACTAAATGTTTAACAAAAAATCAAACAAAAGTAAAGAAAATTTAAAGGTTTTGTTATCGTAGGACATTATTACAAGTTGGTCTTTAATTTATTACTTCGTAATAAATGTTTATATTTGCTATAGCTATCTAAATATATTTATGGTCTAACCACTTTATAAATTTATTATGTGGGAATACATGGAAGGGATTATTATTAGATATAAAGATATTCATTTAGTTTTCATTTCAATATTAATGGGCTAATGGGATTTGAATATATTTTAAATAGGCTTAAATTTTCTTTTAATAAATTTTAATTTTTTGTAAAAGGAGGCAAAAGGGCAAGTGGCACAGTTAATGGGAAGTGTTAACCGCCGACCATGGACATTTGTAACAACAGAGGAGTTACAAATATGTCGTTGGGGTTATAAGGTACATAAGAGTATCTAAAAGCGTGAAATAAGTACGTTAATAGTTTAATCGTCTATTGTTTTCACTTAATCTTTCATTTTTATAACTATGACATGTTTTTTTTTTCAAATTTAAGTCTCATAATATTTGATAACAAAAATGTCAATGGTCCGTAGCCTTATTATACAGCGTGACTTTACAATCGCGACAATAAATGAACACAAATCTAGAGGATAACTTTTTTCTTTAAACATTCTTTAAACATCAATATTTACCGAGTTATTTTGGAACATCCTTACGTATAAAACTGTAACGTAAACTTCATTTGTAAAGGTCACCAAGCATATGAATGGGTTGAATGAATTTAAAAGAGACAAAACATACTGTTAGAAGGAGAGGCTTGTAATGGAACGTTGTGGCAACGAATGAAAAAGTCTCTAATGTATGAATCAGTCAGTTGTAGTTGTATAGGATGCTACAAATGTTGTTTCTTTTTTACTTTAATAGTTTGTTTGAAAAATATTTTTTTTAATTATGGATTTTTTTTATAACGTTAATAATTTTTTTATGATTATTGACACGCTGTATAAACGAGGATTAATTGAAATCAAATGCGTTGTCATCGTTACGGAAAACTTAGAGCGTATCTGGGAATTCATCCGGAGATATTTAATTATTTAAATGTTGCTCAATGTCATTCTTATCATTGTGGTATATTAGTGTATAAATCCACTCGTGAAAAAGATGTAAGCGGTATTTACATTAAAAAAACCCATCCAAGTGCGAGTCGGACTCGCACACGATTCCGTACCATTATCTATAAAAACGCCAAAAATGTCATGTCTGTTGTATGTATGCCCCAATTAAATAATTTTTTATTCTGTGTTTTATTGTTATAGCGGTTGTTATAGCGGCAAAAAATTTTATTTTGTGCTACATACTGTAAAGTAAAAAAAGTAAAGAACATCAATCTGTACAGAGAGTATGAGTGCATAGTCCACCCGACCCCACTGCAGATTGGCAGACTTCACATATCTTCGAAATATTTTTCTTTTGTTATTAAAACATGCAGGTTTCGAAACGAAGTTTTCTTTTACCGTAGAGCACGTGATAAGTAAGTAAAATTGCACTGAACTATTTCAGTGTTGGCGGCACCGGGATTTGAACTCAGGTTGCTCGAGTATATTCAATTGAAGCGCCTGGACACTGACCTATCACGGCTCTACGTTTGTAAAGCATCTTAACACTTGTCACGGGAAAAGTTATACGGTATAAAAATTACAGAACTTTTTAAAAATAATAATACTGTTGAAATGTTGTACTAATACTAAAGAAGTTTTCCCGACCTGCAAAGCGATGAAGGAACTTACGCTCAACAACCGCAAGTTATTTTGCGGTTAACAATGCCGGTGTCGAGTTATCCCAATGATGCCTTGTTTAAAATACGACACATGCTGTATCGTATTTCTTATGATATGGCTTAAGTCACGTTGACGTGATCAGTAGTTTATTTGACTAAATTGAGAGCCACTTTAAGGTTGTTATGGTCGTGGCAGTATTGCAAAGAGCTATTTGATGACAGCGCCTAGTAAAAGTGAACTTGGACTGCGTACAAATATTCAAAGTTTATATGGATGGGCATTGATCAAACTGGAACAGGCGTCGATAGTCAAATCTTACACTGACACTTTTAGATCTGCATTGCTTAAAAATGCATCCAATGGTCCAAGTGGACTTTATTAAATGTTAAGTTGTTTCAAAGTAAACTTGTATGAAACCAACTTGCATCGAGTTTAGAGATAAAGAGAATTTTTACTTCATCCATCCAATGAGCCTTTTGCAGTCCACTGCTGGACATAGGCCTCCCCAAGGCCACGCCACAGAGCACGATCTGCCGCTTTCCTCATCCAGCCACTACCAGAATTTTTACTTAATGGAAAATAAAATGTTCATAAAATACTTCGAGGCGTTACTGTATCATGAGTTCTACATGTCAAATGGACTTCCCATTTATTTTATAACTTTGTGCGTGCGTGCGTGCGTGCGTGCGTACCCGTGCGTGCGTGCGTGCGTGCGTGCGTGCGTGCGTGCGTGCGTGCGTGCGTGCGTGCGTGTGTGTGTGCGTGCGTGCGTGCGTGCGTGCGTGCGTGCGTGCGTGCGTGCGTGCGTGCGTGCGTGCGTGCGTGCGTGCGTGCGTGCGTGCGTGCGTGCGTGCGTGCGTGCGTGCGTGCGTGCGTGCGTGCGTGCGTGCGTGCGTGCGTGCGTGCGTGCGTGCGTGCGTGCGTGCGTGCGTGCGTGCGTGCGTGCGTGCGTGCGTGCGTGCGTGCGTGCGTGCGTGCGTGCGTGCGTGCGCGTGCGCGTGCGCGTGCGCGTGCGTGTGCGTGTGTGTGTGTGTGTGTGTGTGTGTGTGTGCCTGCGTATGTATGTGTAGATAATTATAGGTATAGGAAATAATACAAATTCTATGTCATTACACAAAGTAGGTCTTCAGTAGCTTTGTACTCCATATTTAGAAGTCTCTCAATTCATAGTTTTCTTTACTTTAATTTTAGTAAGGGCATATATATTGAGTTCTTTATTAATTCTATTGTACAAATGTCCCCCGAGATAACAGAAAAATCTCTTGCACATAATAGAAGTATGGTTATAATGGGTGGTACACACGCGGTCTTTACGTCGCTTTTGTAGTGAAAGATTCGGTTCATGTTTTAATAGAGTATGCTTTTTTAACACCGTATACAGAATGAATAATTGTCTGACTGTAAGTACTTTAGCGTTTTTTATACAGTTCAGAGGTAGGATATTTCAAGGGGAGAAAACTACTTACTTTTAAAATCAGTCTTTGAGACCTTTCTAGTGACAACAAGGAAGATTTATTAGCTCCCCCCCAGCTAGTAATACAATATATTATTAGTGA